CACGAGCTACAACGATACTAGTGTTGGTAGCAGCAGTCTCATCGGCGTTGGTACCAGTGCGAGCAGCAGTACGATGGGCACCCACAAGAGCGGCCGAAGCGAACACACCACCAGCAGTCACAAACATGGAAGCCTCGGCAGCCTCGGCAGCCGACGAGGTAGTAATGTCAGCAGTCGCGGAAACAATGGAAGTACCAGTCCATACGACCCAACCGTCACATCTCCCAACCGAAAGGCATCTCATGCATCATCAAAACACGGGCGTGGGAGTCACAGTGGCAGTGGCAGTGGCTCAAAGGGAGGATCTGACGACAAGAGCCGCAGCAAATTTGCGTGCACGCGCGCGGATTGCCATGGTCCCGTATTCACGCGTATGGCCGACCTTGACCGGCACATGCTGCACATCCACACCGACGCCGATAAGAAGGAGCGCTTTCTGTGCGACTACTCTTCGTGCTCACGCAGCGCTACGCCATTTCACCGCAAGGACCACTACCGCGAGCATCTGCGCGTGTACCACCTCGAGGATCTGCTGAAGCGTGGCAGCAACGCTAACCACCACACGGCGGCCTCGACGTCGTCGTCCTCTGGTGCCAGAACATCCGAAAGGCTGTCGCCATCGTCGGCATCCGCATCCGCATCGTCCACTGCCGATGTCAAAAGGAACAAGAAGCTGCTTCAGGAGACACAACTGCAACACTGTAAGACGGAGGCCGAGTGGTGGCGCTGTGCGCGGTGTCTGCAGCGAGTCGACATTGCCGAGCGTGGCTGGACGTGTCCGAACTGCAAGGGCAGTATCGAGGAGCCACGCAAGGCGATCCGGATGTCGCGGTCGGCGGCGTCCATGGCGGCAACAAACGCCCGCCAGTTGGCTCAGTCTTTGGACATGCCGGCCGAGTGGGGAACTTATAGCGATATGTCGATGGAGTCGTACTGATAAAGCATTGCAGCATGGGCCAGTGTTTTTCTTCGTTTTTTTTGTTGAGGGATATAGTTCATAGAATTAGCTCATTTTGGGACATGTTTTATTATTTTGTGTAAGGCTCTCCTTACATTTGTTTCTTTGTACTGTACGGACTTGTTAAAATCTAATCTGTCTAGCTTTGCTTCCCGAATCCATTTACTGTCCATATTCACCTTGTCACTGTCATGCATCCGGATATTCATTTTTGTACGTAGCAAGGGGACGCACATCAAAATCTCGGGAGCTTGTTATTAGTTTGAAACAGGCGCAGAGACCAGACAACCGCCGTTACGCCTTCTTCCAAAGCCTCCAGCTATCAAACACACATACAGGAGACCGAGTAAGTAACCCGGGAGCATTGCCTGTTAAGAGTTTTTTGGCCCGGCTAAACAATGCTCCTGTAGATCCCCTGCAACCATTCTGCTGATACATCGCTATGTCTACCACATAACTTGTAAATTCACCACTTGCCATTGCTATCGGTTGGTGTTGTACCTTGCAGTAGACAGTGCTAGCACTGCAACTTCCAGCACCTGCAATGTTAACGACTGCGAAAGCCTCACTTGGATTTGGTCATGGCATATGTGTGCGCTTTGCTGAATTGATAGAAGCTAGATGTGTATGTGTTTGGCTATGCCGGCCAGTCGTTCCTGCCATTTGTAGTCGCTGCCAAGCCACGCGCGGCCTGGCCCGTTCAGTGCCGGCCCGCTAAGAAACTCTACCTCAATCCGATTCGATTGTCTGGTATATTATCACGGCGCATTTAAGTTGCCTATGAAAACATTATATCAATGAGATGAAATGCACCTGAAGATAATAAGAATACGTAGTGCGGGATTCATCGTACATAGTGGAGAACCATTTCGAAAATTTAGTTCGTAGTGTTCTAACTTCATAAACAAACGTGGCTTGTCAATGTAGGCAAGGTTGGGGAGAATATAGTGTGCGCCCGTACGGATGAGTATGGAGTCCGGCCTTTCTGCTTTGTAAAGCTGTACGTGGGAAGTCGGCTGGCAATTGCGAGCTCGACACGTGCCGTATCACGCAGTTTTCTCACGTCGGCCTTACCCCGGCTTGCTGTGGCACACAATGTGCCGCTTTGCCGAGCAGGGGTGTCAACGTGTGAATGTCTGGATGCTCAGTTTCCTGTGCCGTCAGCTAGAGTCACCTTTGATGGCGGCGTGTATGGGCTGGGTGGTGTGAGGCAGGTTGTTGACATGGCTTTCGCACAGGCAGAACGGCCTAGACGATCAACAAAAACACGAGTCTCGACCGATTAAAGTTTGACTTGGAAAGAAGCATATTCAGAATAAAGATGATGGTCGTGTTCAAGGTGGCCGACGACAGGTCCAGAATACACTTCCACCCTGCACCCTGCACTGCAGGATTTAGGATGCAACGCAAGCGGAGATAAGCGGCAGCGGCCCATACATCAAAAATCCAGATTTTCCAAGTCAGTTGACTTGTTGCGGTTGGTTCTTGTGGGTGACATTTTGAATTCTAAATGGCCCGATAGGGTAGGTAGGGTTGCTTTTGTCAGCAGAGCGCGTTCATTTTGGTTTTTGTTCATACACGTGCACTTTGCACTCAGACCAGTTTTGACCGCAACAATCGGTAAACGTAACCATGTGGAATGCGAATCGTAGCTTCGGATACCTTTCGGTGATGATATTCAGTCACATGACTCTATTCCTGGTTGCGAACCTGGGTGCGCCGGAGATCGGATGTGCGGCGATGCCAAGTCCGGGCGGAGTATGTTGTGCTCCGTTTGCTGACAGCTCTTGTCGCTGAGGCCCGACTCTGGAGAGACTAAGTCGGAGAGACTAAGTAGGGGGCAGGGAAACGGCGTGCCGTTGTCTGTGCCTCCAGTAGGCGCTAGGTAAGCTTTGTCAGTTTGGGCAGGTGTTTTGCATCCCGAATGGCCTGAAAGGGCAGATAGCGGGCCCCTGGGTCAGGGGTGTAAGGATGGTCACGGTGCAAACTCGGCCTGACAGGGAGGAGATTCGTCCAATTGACGCGGCCAAAACTTGTTCTTCCCCATAATGTGCAGCCAGATTGTCGCAAAGAAGGCAGGAAGGCAACGGGGAAAGGCTCCCCGGGTTTCTTGATCACCAGTTGTCCCCAAACTCCATTCTCCACCCAAAAATCAACAAATCAACAGACTACGACAATGTAGGAATATGAGTGAGTACGACGTATACTGGTCGTCCAAAAGAGCGACTTTCCTGAAACGGGACAATGCACCGATGAAGTCGATTTGTCTAAACGCTTTGTCTGAGAAGCATGCTTTGCGAGTGAGACATTGAGACACTGAGACAATCTCCAGCATCGACATGTTGGACATGCTTTTTCTGTTGCGTGCAGTTGTGTGCTTTTGGTTACGGGCATGGCATTCAGGGAACGGACGACGTTGACAGAAGCGTTTCGTTGGTCTTTTTCTTTCTTGCTTGTTGCCAGTCTCGTCAATGGTTGTGGATGCTCTGTTTGGTCCCCGGACATTCCCCATCCCTTCTATGTCCATTCTGTCTACGTCGTAGTTCTTGTCTACCTTCTCCACTTCTCACTCCAGCCCACGACTATGCAAGCCAACCGCTGTGGCGCCGCTCCCCGCATCCACAACCGTGCCAAGTATCGACCATGTGTCGCTCTGCCCTATCCTTTCCTTCCTTGTCCCCTTACCCTCGAGAGGTTCCCGACTTTGTATGTCTTGGCCCTCAGATCGTAGCTTTGCCTCCCCGCAGGTTTGGCTCGGCTTATTCTTGCTGGGCTGTAGAGAATCGTATGGGGGAGTTCTGCTTGCGTCTTCTCTGGTTTTGCATATAAAAAACAAAACACGGTTTGGGACTATACTGGACCATTGTGTTTATCACCACCACCACCATCGCGGTCACGCGCAGGAAGGTCCTGGGCGTCGCAACGGCTGTTCAGGACTTTGCACTTGCCTATTTCGATCCCGCAGTGTTTTCCTCCTGTTAATTTCCGGCAATACGCTGGGCAAATTTCTTCCTTCGTCCCATTCTGCCATTCTGCCATTCTGCCATCGTCTTCTTCCCCATCCCTTCTCTCGCCTCCCCGCTTCCTCGCCCAGCGTTCGATACAGACTACAAAGCCTGTCCACTCAAGCTTGCTTGGTCTGCAAGAGTCTCGCCGAAGAAGCCCCAGGCGCCTTGTGCAAGGCCAACGTTACAGCCCGACCTGTGGCCGTACTTCGTAGTCCGAACACCCCTGGTTGGATGTGTGTATTACTCTGCAGTCCTGCCCACTCTTTCACTGGTCGGAACTCGGAAGCCGCCACCAACCAGCAGCGCTGGTCGAACAGGCGCAGACCCACCCTTGCATACTCGTCGAACCCGTCCAATACGGTCTGATGCGTCTAAAACGTCTTGCACGTCCTTTTCGGTCCTTATTTTTATTTTCTATTCTCCGAAGTACAGTCGTACGCCGTCGTGCTGTGCAGATCCTCGTCCCCCGCGGCTCCCTCTCTCCCTCCTCCATGTTCCCAGGACCCCATGGGCCCATGCACGTCTCCGCAGCTCCAGAACACTTGCACACGCTGCATGTGGAGCCCCGGGTCGCGTGAGAGTGAGACGTGTGTGTGTGTGTATCGGAGGACGGCGTGCGTTTGGTTGGCGATGCTCGTATTGGTGATGCCAAATGCACAAAAAAAATGACAAGAAAATAGCGAGAAAAGCAGAGGGGAATGGAGCACTCGTGACAAAAGACTCCGAGTAGACCGCCGGTCTGCGCTTGTGATTTTTTGACAACTGCCCCCTCCCTCGTCCCCCCATGACCGTGGCCCCTGTCGACCCGTGTTGATGTTGATCCCGGTGCTTGTTTGCTCTATGGCTCCTGGCTGTCCCCTGGCCAGGCCGTGTCGTATATAAACATCCCGCGGGCCGCCTCCTGTTTATTTTTGTCTGTGATCGTCCCAGACCCTTTCTTGCCTTTCTTGCAAGCCCAATACGACCAGCAAAAGTACACGGTCATACGGCCACCGTCCTCTTCCTCCGTATTCCGTCGTTTCTCTTTTCCCATCATGTCGACCCCGGCCGAAGACACGACGGCCCCGGCCGTCGCCAATGTCCATGTGGGCGACCTGGCGGCCACGTCCGACCTCGAGCGCATCGAGGCGCCCGTTACTTGGAAGGCGTACCTGATGTGCGCCTTTGCGGCCATTGGCGGTATCTTTTACGGCTACGACACCGGCTACATTGGCAACGTTAACGCCATGGATGTATGTCAAAGCAGCGTGGATTTACGCGGTCGTCACGCAAAAAAAAGTACTAACAAACTAGGTCTGGGTTCATGCGATCGAGGGCCCCGATGCTACGTCTCTAGGCTCCAGCCACCAGTCTCTCATCGTCTCCATCATGTCCGTCGGTACTTTTTTGGGCGCCCTGGCCGCCGGCGACCTTGCCGACAACATGGGCCGCAAGTGGACCGTCATCCTGGCCTGCGGTATCTACGCCATTGGTGTGGTGATTGAGATCATCACCGGTCTTGGCGACGCCTACGCCGAGATTGTCATTGGCCGTCTGATTGCTGGCATCGGCACCGGTCTGGAGTCGGCCACCGTCGTCCTGTACATGTCGGAGATTGTAAGTCCCCGAGACGCTAAGCCATGCTTGCTTACGCGCCATCAGAAGCATAAAGCTCACACACACTAGTGCCCTCGCAAGGTCCGTGGTGCTCTCGTCGCCGGCTACCAGTTCTGCATCACCATTGGTCTCCTGGCCGCCGCGTGCATCACGTACAAGACCGCCGACTGGGACTCGGCCAACTCGTACCGCCTGCCGATTGGTCTGCAGTTCATTTGGGCCGCCATCCTTGGCGGCGGCATCGTCTTCCTCCCCGACTCGCCCCGGTTTTTCGTCAAGCGCGGCCACCTGTCCAAGGCCCGCCGCGCCCTGTCCCAGCTGCGCGGCCAGCCCGAGCAGTCCGAGTATGTCGAGTACGAGCTGGCCGAGATTGTGGCCAACGAGGAGTACGAGAAGGCGCTCATCCCGGACACCACCTGGTTCGGCACCTGGGCCGCCTGCTTCAAGGGCTCGCTCTGGACCTCCAACTCCAACCTGCGCAAGACCATTCTCGGCACGTCGCTGCAGATGATGCAGCAGTGGACCGGTGTGAACTTTATTTTTTACTGTAAGTGCTGAGCGTAGACATTTTCTCTTCTCCTTCTGTTTTTGTCCTTCCCCACTGACAAAAATAGACGGTACGCCCTTCTTCAAGTCGACCGGCGCCGTGACCAACGAGTTCCTCATGTCCGTCGTCTTCAACATCGTCAACACCCTGGCAACGCCCTTTGCCTTCTGGGCTGTCGAGAAGTGGGGCAGACGCCCTCTCCTGCTCTGGGGTGCCCTGTCCATGCTGATCTGCCAGCTGATTGTGGCCACCGTCGGCGTCACCGTCGGCTTCAACCACACCCACCCCGACGCGTCCGTTGTCGGCGGCACCGCGGCCGACAACACCCCAGCCGTCAACGCCCAGATCGCCTTCATTGCCATCTTCATCTTCTCGTTTGCCACCACCTGGGGCCCCGGCGCCTGGATCGTCATCGGCGAGATCTTCCCCCTGCCCATCCGCTCCCGCGGCATTGCCCTGTCCACCGCCTCCAACTGGCTCTGGAACTGCATCATCGCCGTCATCACCCCCTACATGGTCGACGCCCTCGTGTCGTCTGTCTTTTATGTCTGGTTCGGCCTCTGCACCTGCGCCTTTGTCTACACCTACTTCCTCGTCCCCGAGACCAAGGGCTTGACCCTCGAGCAGGTCGATCTCATGATGGAGGAGGCCACCCCCCGGACCTCGGCCAAGTGGCGGCCCACCAAGACGTTTGCCAGTGGCATCGCCCACGGCGAGAAGAGCACGTTTGTCAACAACGAGACGGTGCCTCAGGAAGTGCCCGTCTAAGCTGGCAGCTTGCAACGCACTCGGTTTTCTCCCTCTTCTCCAGGGCAGCCATACCCGGCCGCTGAATCCCCTCGGCCACCGTATCTATTTTCCCATTATTCTTTCGTCATGTGTACAAAGCAACATTGGTTGCGAACTAATTTGTAAATATCTCTTTTTTGGATTGTGGAGGAAGGTGTTGCCAAGGTTCTCGTCATTTCCAGGCCGTGTCAAGTATATAGCTCCTGAAATAAAAATCGGAATCTTATAATACCTGCTTTATGCATGGCAGTGAATCAAACCAAAGAGAGACACTTGACGAGTGATGTAGTCAGCAGCGGTGGTGGCATGTCTGATAATCCAAGTGCCTCCCCAAAGGACAGTCTGGGTGAGATGTATCGAACTGGAACCCTCCAAACACCTGCACGTCACACTTCAGTCGAAATATAGAAGGAATGGACAAATCGAAACCTTCCGTGTACAGCACCATCTATAAAAATTATGTGCACCGGGTTCGTATCAGCCAGGCTTTGTTGATCCTCTGATTCTTTTTCAGTGTCTCCGGATCTGCATGAATCTAGTTGTCCCTTTTATGATGCTTCTCCATATAGTTACAGAGTTGGCGGTGCGGTGTATAGTGGCCGAGGCTATCAAGCGAAGTAAACAAATCGAGCTGCGAATTCTTGCCTATTTCGGATGCATCTGCAACGACTTGCATTAAACGGAACGTGCCCTGACGCCTATGTACATACCGTCACTGGTGCTATATCCCAAGTAGGCTTAAAATCGGATCTTTGTGTGTGCAGTGGCTCTCAGCCGACGCGTACTTGTATGGATCGGGCAGGTAAAGCCGCCCACAGCTAAACCTTAAACGGATCCTCACTGTGTCGTTTCTCCTATTGTTCCGCCGAATGCCTCAAAGTCGAGAGCGCGAAGAGGAGGAATCCTTTGTTGAATTGGACAATTTTTCCCCGTTTGTCAATCGTAGGGCGTAGGGTAGGAATGTCGAGCTATCCCGAAAAAAAAATAAGAAATAAGCATAAAACAGGTATGAGGGAGGCAGGGCGAGGCAGCAGACATGGGAGGCGACAACGACTGCTGTTTTCTGGGGCCACGAAAGACGACGACCCAACAGCCGACCGGCTGGATGAGACGAGGACAAGTACTTGCGTCGCAAAGTTGTACAAAAGCAAAGTCTGGCTTGGGCGCCGACAGCAACGACGCTAGCTGGCGTGTCAATTTGCGACCTTCCTTGGCCGCGTTTGGTGCGTTTCCTTCGGTATTCTGTGCATAAGGGCTGCTTTTTGCGCCGGATTAATACCCCAAAGCCCTGAGCAGGTCAATCGATCCGTAAGCAGTGCCAGGCTTCGTGCTCGCCGTTGTGTTTACTCGCAACGTCCCACGTGGAGGTTCTGATAGATGCTGTCCTTGCCGGACAGATTGACAGCTGCCAGACAACTGCCGTACTCCCGAGACGACCGCCACGGACCACCACCAGCCACCAGCGGCCACAAAGCCGCAGAGCAACGACAGCCAGTGTTAACCAGACTCGAGTGGAGATGGTCGATCGCAGAGCCAATCCCTATTGGCAGAACAAAAGCGAGAGAGTCGACCGACCATGGCTTTTTAGGGCGGAAAGCACGGAAAGACTGGTCCGTCCGGGTCCATCGGCTTGTGTGAACGGCTTTGACGACGTTGGGCAAAAGAACTCCTCTGTAGCAGATCGTTCGACTTGAGCCAGCTGGCAGTTGGACGAGTCTTGCACCGTTAATGCCGGCACATACGACCTATGAATGTCATGTCGTGGGGAATGATTGCCCAATTCGGTCGTCTCGAGACGCCGCCGCCGCGCTTTCCTGCGTGGTTGCGTTGGTGCTTTTTCGGCTCGTGTGGGGGAAGGTGCGACGGTTGCTAACAGGTCGCTGCCTTCTCCGACGTCCGTCGTACATACGCTTTTCCCCGGTTTGAGGCGCGCGGAGAAAGAGCGAAAGGGTACACAACCCTGGCCAGGCGGAAAGTTTACAATGCACGCCATGCGGGCGCCGCGGCAGTAGCGTGGTGGTGTGCACCGCTACCAAGATACCCCACGCCATGCAGAAGGATGGAAGGAGCATGGGGACAATAATGGCTCCCAGGGAAAGAACGACAGAGGGGTAATGCGGTATACTTGCCAGACGGGAAGGCGCCACCAACAACGACGCTGACGGAGATGTTTGTCCCGTGCAGTCGTGTATTTGTTCGTCTTCTGGACACCAGTTGGGCAACGCCTCTCGTGCTTTTGGACTGATGTTTCTCGCAACGTCGAATACCGTTGTGAACATCGCCGGGGTGGCTGCAGGTGTCAAACGGCGCCCAGAGTATTTTACATGCACAACGTACAGCATGGTATTATGGGAAAGGGGAAAGAGCCACCGAGCAATGCGGGGGGACTGCATAAAACGGCACCCGACGAAACAGGAAACCGCATACTGCCACCACAATACATACTGCAAGGGGCGACTAATACCGCAAAAGTGCTCCTGCGTCTCCTTGTTTGTTTTGATCAATCGCGACCGGCCAATCCGTGCTGCGTGTTTTGTCTGCTCTGACCTCGAAACGTTCATGGACAGGCGGTTTCTCCCCGCATGCTGAGTGCCCTGTGCACAGTTTCCAGCGCGCTTGCCGGCGTCCACAGCACCCCTCTTTCCCTCCTCCCGTGCCTGCCTGTTTGGCAATTTAACCCTGAGCAGCGGCGGCATCGCGTGCTTTCCTATTTCCGTGGTTCCGTCCTCCATTGGCACCGGCAAGGTCAGATGGCCCGGAGAAGCAGCAAGGTGACACTGGGTGTGCTGGCTAATTAGGAAGGGGCCGATGGACAAACGGGAGAGGGGAAAGAGCAAGCGCTGGGCCGTTCTTTCCACACGCGACCAGCTTTTGGCCTGCCCAGTCGTAGAGAGGGGACGGGGAAAGGGGAAACATATATTTCTCTTGCAACATCCCCCGCGTGTTGACAATAAACCCTTCTCGAACAAAACAATCACGAAACGGCCACCTCCAGTCCCAACCACAGCTCTCGCTTTGCGCCTTACGCATTTGATACTCGTACGGCATACTCCAGTCGCAAAATACCTCTTATCGCCTCCCCTATCGATACCAGGACCCATCGTCGCTTTTGTGGAGACGGCTGCTTTAGAAACAGAAAGAGAACGAGGCAGAAAAACAGGAAGAAGGACAGGAGAGAAGGGCAAAGCCAGGGAATTCACCAAAAGGACTACCCAGGCCCTACAGTGACCAAGCATAGACACCAGGCTACGCAGCAAAAGGCAAACAGAAAGGAGCCTCTACGTGTCCAAAAAACCCGCAAGCCGCCAAAAAAAAAAAAGAAGGCCGATGTCGCATCCTTCGTTTGCTGAATAAAAGAATACCAGCCCAATTCAACACACTGCGTGTTCGCCCTTCGCCGGTCCCATTTTCTCACCGGAGCTGCTTGTATTTGGATATATCCTTTCTGCTTCCTGTATCGACTCTCGTCCTGGTGTTGCCACAACTTCGTCGCCTCACCGTCACCTGTCGTCATTCTCAACTCGCCTGCGGCCCCTCACAACTCCGCACAAGACGTACTTGTACCTCGTGTCAAGCACCCCTCGATCGCCCAGACGCGCTATCTTTGCCGATACGCCTCCGTCGTCCCCCGCTAAACCGCCGGTAGCCATTCCGACAGCCATTGAATCATCACCGACACGAGTTGCGCGGTCGCTCGTTTGACCCTGTTTCCCGATTTTTCCAATCATTTTCTCCTTTTTTTTTTCTTGCCAGGAGACAAACCGTTCCTCTCCCACGGCCTCCCATCCAACGCGTGCCCCTCGCTGCTTATTAGTATTTCCTTTCGCGCACACAAAACTGGTCTCCCCTCGAGCTAGACCCCAGCACGGTATATCTAGCCGCGTTGATCCTCGGCTAAGGCTTTTGAACCTGCGGCACACCTCGCCAGGCTGTTGCGCTCCTGTTTGCATCATCCTATCCTAGGTCCAATAACGTCGGGTCAATTTCGCAGCTCCTCGTGTTGCAGACACTTACAGATCACCCCCCGGAACTTACACACGGAAGCAGCCTTTGGGTCCTTTTTGGTCCATTTTCGACTTTCCCCAGTGTAGCAGTTCAAGACCCTGGCCGCTTCTCATTCCCATTTTGTCTCGCCGTTCTTCACAAGCTCGCCCGCGCAGATTTCCAGGTTCCCCTCCCCCCTCCTTGGCCAATATGAATTCGCTGCTCCTTCGTTCGTCTGTTGCCAGCCGACGGGCTCTTGCTGCCGGCCCGGTTTTAAGCCTTTCCTCCAAATCTTTTTCTTCCAACTTTTCCTCTTCCACTTCTACCTTCTCCTCGTCTTCTCCCAAGAACAACTTCATCACGTCTCGCAGAGCCGCCACCAACCTCGCCTCCTTTGCTACTCGTCGCCCCACCCTTGCTCCTGCTGCTATCATGGCTTCCCAGCAAGCCCAGGCCTCCTCGGCCGCCCCGATCAAGAAGATCAAGGTCATCAACCCCGTCGTCGAGCTGGACGGTGACGAGATGACCCGCATCATCTGGCAGGACATCAAGGACAAGCTGATCCTGCCCTTCCTCGACATCGACCTCAAGTACTACGATCTCGGCCTCGAGCACCGTGACGCCACCAACGACCAGGTCACCATCGACTCCGCCGAGGCTATCAAGAAGTACTCTGTCGGTGTCAAGTGTGCCACCATCACCCCCGATGAGGCCCGTGTTGAGGAGTTTAAGCTGAAGCAGAGTATGTCCCTACGGTGAAATTGCGTCTCTTCAACCTCGCGTTGACTACAGGCCCATTTTATATCCCTTCGAACCTTTGTACTAATAAACCAGTGTGGCTGTCCCCCAACGGCACAATCCGCAACGCACTCGGCGGCACGGTCTTCCGTGAGCCCATTGTCATCCCCCGCATCCCCCGCCTCGTGCCCGGCTGGGAAAAGCCCATCATCATTGGCCGCCACGCCTTTGGTGATCAGTATCGCGCCAAGGACCGTGTCATCCCTGGCCCCGGCAAGCTGTCCATGGTCTACACCCCGGCCAATGGTGGTGCCCCCGAGGAGATTGCCGTCTACGATTTTAAGAATGGCGGCGGTGTTGCCCAAACCCAGTACAACACCGACGAGAGCATCGAGGGTTTCGCCCACGCCTCGTTCAAGATGGCCCTGGACAAATCCCTTCCCCTGTACATGAGCACCAAGAACACCATCCTTAAGAAGTACGATGGCCGCTTCAAGGACATCTTTCAGGAACTGTACGACACCCAGTACAAGAAGGACTTTGAGGCCAAGAACATCTGGTACGAGCACCGCCTGATCGACGATATGGTCGCTCAGATGGTCAAGAGCAAGGGCGGCTACATCATGGCCCTGAAGAGTGAGTCCTCACCCGTCCTCGTCCCTGGCCCAATTGCTATTTTCAAGAAAAAAAGAGAAAGGCCGTGTATTAGAAGCCATGTATTAACAAAGTAGACTACGACGGTGATGTCCAGTCCGATGTCGTTGCCCAGGGCTTCGGCTCTCTGGGTCTAATGACTTCGGTTCTCATCACACCCGACGGCAAGACCTTCGAGTCCGAGGCCGCCCACGGCACCGTCACCCGCCACTACCGCGAGCACCAGAAGGGCCGCGAGACCTCCACCAATCCCATTGCCTCCATCTTCGCCTGGACCCGTGGTCTGGCCCAGCGTGGCAAGCTTGACAATACCCCCGAGCTGGTGTCCTTCGCCGACGCCCTGGAGCGTGCTTGCATTGACACCGTCGATGTTGACGCCATCATGACCAAGGATTTGGCCCTGGCCTGCGGCAAGACCGCCCGCGAGGACTACGTCACGACCACCGAGTACATGAACGCCGTCGAGCGCCGTATTCGCACCAGCCTGCAGGAGAAGCTATAAGCGGAGCATCTATGATGAAGACAAAAGAACACATGAGGATCCTAATCTTCAGGGAAGCTGTGAAACGTTTTAGACGGCCAGCTCGTTAACGATCTCGTTTATCATGCCACTGTCGCCACAGGACCCGTCACGCGGCTGTTCTTTTTTCTTTTTCGTTCACTCCTCTTTCTCTTTCTTCCATTTTCTGACTCGCTTACAACTCTTACCCACCGCTTTATGACGCCTTCATGCCACCCACGCATTGTTTCGGTCCTTCGAAAATCATTTACAGCATCCGCCTATAGTAGACGCATATTATGAACGCCCTCTATGCACAATTACTCCCATCTTAGCAACGATCCCCCCTGACACTTAGGGTCTGTTGGCCAGCCGAGCTGCTGACACGTATATATACAGTCATATTTGAAAAAAATAAGAAAACGATCATATGCCAACAAAATCCGACGCCCAACCTTACGCGGATCTTCTTTTTCTTTTCTGTTGACCTCTTTTCTTACCCTGCATTTTGATTGCTTGTGTTCGTATCGCTATTCGAACCATAGCCAAAGAACGACAACCGGGGAAGAACTGCTGCGGTCTACGCGGACAACGCATTTATGAAAATCAAGTTTGAACACTCCTCTCCAAGGCCGCGTTCTTGCTTGCGACCAACGTGCTTTTACGGAGACGGGAATCCCTTCTTTCTTGGAAAGAGAAAGATAAAGATCACCGCTACCTTACAGAACGCGACAGTACATATCAGAAAGCTAGAGACCAAAGGGAACGTTGTCTCATCACGGGAGACGACCCCGCGGTCGTTGCCGTGGGAGGAATCAAGAGGAGGCTCTGCTAGAAGGGGGCTTTGTAGAGAAGATCCAACGTCTTTGTTGGCATTGTTTCGTTTCTCTCCGCATGCTCTGTGTAGGGGCTGTGTGTATCTATTTGTGGACTCTGTACATTTGTCCTTTCTGTCAATAGAATCTCGCTTGTATATACGCGCCATATTACACCGCATATAAAGAGTACATTACAAAACGAAACAACGAGCTTGCTTCAATCAGGTGTGTGTGCCATTTAGCAGTGATCACGTCATTATTATGTGAATCCAAAATAATAAATGCATAAACGAAACTAACGCCAAACGACCAAGCCGTGATTTTCTCCCATCAAAGTACATCGACGGCTTTTGAAATTGTAACACGAAGTAGAAAAGGCAATAACCATACAGAACAGTAATAATACATTGCAACCGTCCGTCTCTAGTCCCGGCAAGACCAGGCAGAACCATAACCAGCTCGAACAAAGGCCCCAACTGTCCACGACTGTAGCACTATGCGTCAACAGGGCTGGCTTCATGGTCAACGGCCGCTGATGCCGTGTCCGCGGCACCGGCATCCGCATCATCCTCGGCTGCGTCACCGACATTTGACCCGGCCTCAACCTCCGTATCGCCGTCGGCTGTGGCTGCTTCCAGTGCCGCGTTCTTCCGCGGCCGCTTCTTAGTCACCGACACCATAGACACATCGGCCACGGTAGCATCGTTGTCGTCGTCCCCGGCGGCACCGCTCTCGCTCTTACGCTTCCGCTTGTTAGCACGCGCCGATGCACTGCCGCCGCCACCGGCCCCCTTCGGCCGGTACCCCGTGTCGTCGTCCAGCGTCCGCTTCCGCTTGCCACCGCGACCGGAACTAGCGGCTGCAGTCGTACCCGCGTCGTCAGACAGGTCGGCATCCGCAGCCGCCGCCGCGCGCTTGGCACGAGAGGCGTCACTGGGGTAATAGCTGAAATAGCTGACAGCGGCCGATTTGCGCACGGGCTGGCGCTTGGCCTTGCCGCCAGCACCGGTGCCCTTTTGGCTGCCGTGGTCGTCCTTGTCCTTGTCCTTCTCACGCTCCTTTTCGGCGGCGGCGGCGGCCGCTGCCTGGGCCGTCGCCTCACCCTCCTGAAGAAAGATCGCCTTTGGTGCATGGTCCTTGAGCCAGTTGTAAACGCTGGTGGGGTTGCGGGCAATGGTGGTGGACAGGTACCAAAAAGGTGCCGTATTGACCATCTTGGGCAGGTCGCTTTCGACGATGCTGCGGTTGAACAACTCATCCCAGGCGGTGTCACCCTTGCCAATGTGGGCAATGTGCGTGTCCGGTGTGTGGGCAAAGGGGGCCATGGTGGGGATCATGGGCGGCGGGTTTTCGCCTGCGAGAAGGGCACGGCCAGCAATGTGGCGATCAGAGTCCCACAGGTAGTTGTCAATGTCGTCGGCCATGAGGAAGCTCTCCGGGAACACGTTCGACAAGTCCGTGGACGGCTGGCGGTTCTGCTTGTTGAGGAGCCGCAGATCCGGTACCACAAAGGCGAGCCGGTTCTCGTTGGTCGCGATTAGGTCCTTGAGCGCGGCAGGGTCATTCTTCTTCGTCTCGGCCAGGTCGAGGTGCGGCACTTCAGCCAGGAGGGACTTGAGCGAGCGTGCTGGAGGCTCCGGGAGGGGCCCATCGGGGTCCTTCTTATCAAAGTATCGCCGCTCCCAGCCGCCGTCCACATCAATGTCAAGGGCTTTGGTGTTCTTCGATCGTGGGAGGCTGAGATCGATGCGCTTCGACCCGGGGATTTGAGGTGTGTTGTTGATGTCGAGGAGGAGGTCGAGGATACGACTGCGTTGTTGTCAGTAAAGTACCTTGTCCTTCGAGCCGGCAAGATGGATAGATGGATTGCAAGGAATGACCCGGGACTTACTCAATCTCAATGCCTAGCCGCTTCGTTGTCTGCAGAGCGTTGGTCTCCTCTGTGTGCAGCTTTTCGTTGATGTCGATGCTGACGTCAAATTCAACGCGCATCTTCTGGAACTTCTTCTTCCAAGAGCGGTACCGCTTCCCCTTGGCGGCTTCACCAGTAGCCGCGCTTTCGTTTTTGGATGCTCCAGCCGATGAAGAGTCGGCGCTGTCCTTTGCCTTTGCAGATGCTGCGTCCTCCATCTTGACGTCTCGTATGGACGGCGCGTTGTCGGCGTCCATTGTGAAATGGGCTGTGAATGTGGATAAAGACGGCAACGAAGAGATCCTGCAATTAAGGATATCGTGCCTTGGGAGGGCAATGTGATGAAAATCACTCTGAAATCAAGTCATAGACGTGGGTATGGCGTTGGGTGCGGATGACTGACGGGGGCTCAAATCGTGACGTGCATCGAATCGTCGGCGGCTGTCGCGAGAATTGGAAGTGAGCGCGAAATGATGAGGGTGTCGACGCAAAGACAGAAACAGAGCCAACCGGGAGCGAGGGCGGCGCTGTGTCAAAACGGGGCGCACAACGCGGGTCACGAAAAAGGACGAGTCGAAGTGCAATGGCGTTCGGACGACAGAAGAAAAGGGAGGATGCAGCAGGAGAGGCCAAAACACGCGGGAAAAAGCCAGCAGGAGAGATGCTCGCCACGCTACGAGTTTCCCATCACGAGCAGCCGCACGACCAGAACGCTCCTTCCTTGTAGCTGCAACGTTTGCGAAGCCCTGAGACGTGCCTGCCTTCAGTCCGCCCTGGTCTCGGCTGGCACTATGATTGGCTGGCTGCTGTCTTCTCTCCTACACTTCCATACAAGCTCCACTTTTCTCACGGTCGCATACCGCCTGCTGCTGTACGCTAACTAATGGGCCTTGAGCTTTTCTGCCATGTGTAAAGCGGCGACTTCCAACGTGCAAACGACAAACACACTCCGCAGAGTACATGTTGTTACTCTGTCACTCATTCCGACCATATCACAGGACGTCCACAATTCGGTCGGCATCACCAGCCCCTAGTTTATGTTTTGTATAGCCCGCCGACGACTCTTTTCGACCATGGCAGAGCAAGCGGCCAAGCGCCTCAAAACTGACGGCATCTCCATTGCCACCCACAATGGCCACTTTCACGCTGATGAGGCCCTAGCTGTTCACATGCTCCGTCGCCATGTGCCCGACTATGCTGGTGCCAGCCTGGTGCGCACCCGCGACCCCGCTAAGCTGGCCGAGAGCCACACGGTCGTCGATGTGGGCGGTGAGTACGACGCAGACAAGCTGCGTTTCGACCACCACCAGCGCGGCTTCACCACCACGTTCCCGGGCCGGCCCACGAAGCTGTCCTCGGCAGGCCTGGTGTACATGCACTTTGGCCGCGGCATCATCGAGCGGAGTGTGAGGAGCCAAAAGGTGGCGGACACCGATGTCGACCTGCTGTACAACAAGCTGTACAGCGGCTTCATCGAGGCCCTCGACGCCCACGACAACGGCATCGACGCCTACGACCCGGCCGAGCTTGCGGCGGCCAACGGCGGGGCAGGCATTGCCAAGCGGTACACGGACGGCGGCTTCACGCTCGGCGCTGTGGTGGGCCGCTACAATGCGCAGTGGAACGACGCCGACGAGGACCAGGCGACCGAGGACGCGCGCTTCGAAAAGGCCAGCGCGCGCATCGGCGTGGAGTTTGACCGCGAGCTGAACTACCTGGTCAGCGGCTGGCTGCCAGCGCGTAGCATTGTCAAGGCGGCGTTTGACGCGCGCAGCGAGTTTGACAGCGGGGGGCGCCTGCTGGTGTTCCGTGACCAGTCGTGCCCGTGGAAGGATCACCTGTACACGCTCGAGAGCGAGGCGGGCGAGGGGAGCAGCAAGGTGCTGTACGTGCTGTACCCGGACAAGGAGGGGCGGTGGCGCGTGCAGTGCGTGCCGGCGGCCAAGGACTCGTTTGAGAGCCGCCGGCCACTGCCGGAGGCGTGGCGTGGTCACCGCGACGACGCACTCGACAAAATTTTGGACGGCGCCGTGGCGCCAGGTGCCGTGTTCGTCCACGCGTCGGGCTTCATTGGCGGTCACCGGACATTTGAGGGCGCGCTCCAGATGGCCAAGAAGTCTCTGGAGCTGTAAAGGAGTACATGGGAAGGGGCATATCATGATATCACACGCAAGAGGTGTCGATATGAAAAGGGAACATGGACTATAACGGGCATGACCAAAACGGAAACTAAAATGGGGATATCTAGTGTGAAAACGCATTGTACGGTTGCAAATAAATACTCTGATGGCATGGAACAAGGGCCACTTTTGGAAGAAAGAAAGTGTTTTGTGATAAGTTGCCTTACTCGTCGCATATCGTGTCAAGAGTCCAAATTGGCGGCAAGCGTACTGTGGAAAAGAAGAAGAAGAATAACACAGGATCAAGAAATATCCAAGAAGATGAAACATGTGACTAACAAGAAAAGCAGTAAACAAGCAGAAGTGCTTTGTTTCCCAGCCAAGAATCCATTTTGTCTTTGTGTCTTGCCTGTCCTGTATTGGAAGAGGCTTTCCATTTTATCGTCCATTTTCGAAACATCTTCCAACATTGTCCAATACGTGAAACGTCCACAGTAAAGTATGCGCCACGTACAATGAGACGGCCGACATACACGATTGGGATACAAGAATAAATCAGAGAATAAAACACAGCATACAATCCCGGTAAACTTCATAACGCGTGGCTGGTGGAATAAAACAGATAGAAAATATATGCAAAGAAATGGAATAAAAAAAGAGACAAAGAAAAACAAAGGTAAATAAAAGGGTCTCAAAAAATCAAACAAAACTCGCAAAACAGCAGTTCGCCCGTGGAATAAAAATGCCCATTTTTTTGTATGTGTATTTTCAATTTTCATATCCGCTACTCGGCGCTTCCTCCTATCGCCGGATGGGAATCGACTCGGTCTGGCCTTGGCCCACGGGAGACGACTGCTTACCAGCCGTCGTGTCCGCCGCAGATGGTTCCTCCAGGTCGGAGGCGCTCGTCTCGCGGTGCAGGAAGCTACTCTCCTTCACAGGGCTGCCGGCCTGCTGGAAGTGGGCAGACGATCCCGGGATGCCGAGCGTGATGCCGCCAACGCCGCCGCTGCCACTGCCACCGACGACATTGTGGTTGTTGCTGTGGCCGTTGGAGCCCGGCGTGTTGGTCGACGGCGGGGACGAGAGGTGGGGGATCTTTTCGGGGACGGGGTGCTGCGAGCCGACGGTGCCAGTGTCGACGCTGTCGCCCTTGCCGGCCTTGGACATGGCGTAGTCGCCGCTGTCAAAGTACTTGCGCTCCTTGAGATGCTTGGAGAAATGGTCGGAGCGGCTCGGGAGCTTGCCGTAGAGCCGGAAGAGGCGCTGCTCGTCGGGGGACAGGGACTTGGCGAGAGGACCAGTTAGCAAGAGACGAAAAGAGCGTCAACGAAGAAGGACGGAAAGAAAGGGGCTGCTTACGTTGATGTCCACCTTGTTTTTCTGGTGAGGATTCATAGCTGCGGTTTGTGTGTGTGTGTAGTTGAACTTGGTCTGGCCCAAGAGTTCTGGTTGCCTCGTGCTCCTGACGGTATAAGGTGCAAGTCGTCAAAAGCCGGCAACGGATCAACGCCAAGCAGTCAATGTAAACTCGCGCAATTGGGGGAATGTCGGACGAGAATGGGGCGGTGCAGAGAACAAAAGATCGATTGCGAGGCGAACCGAGTGGCCAGGTCGCGAGGAGTGCAGTGGAAAGAAGAGCTAGAAGTCCCGCAAGATGGACTGTCGATAAACCAATACGATCCGAAATTACGAATCCTGGTCGAAAGGGAGGGGATGCGAGGAGCAACGTAGAGACAAAGACAGCAGGTCAGAGAAAGCCGTCCAAGGCTGTCTTACTTTGGCGTTTGAGTGTTTGGGCGTTGGCACTTGTAAATGGATCTAGCACCGTACCGTTGAAAAGCGGAGGTGTGTCGAAGAATGCAAAAATGCTCCAAGAGGGTGTCGTTATCGGCAGACTTGCAGCCAGAGCAGACGTGTCTGTCTATGTTTCTTTGGATTTCTGTGTCGTTTATGTGGTACTGAAAGGAGAAAAGATAATATAAGTCAAAGCACGCAGAAAGGTAGCGGGACCCGGTAATGGAGGGTTGGTCGGTCTGTTGGGAGCAGGAAGGCGGGACAGAGAAAGAAGCAGCCACAAAGAGGGGCTAAGACCACTCGGGACAAGAGCGTGGACTGATTGGGCCTGCTGACAAGCCCCTCCTTTGCGTCAGTCGTGCCTGCCCTTTGCTGTTCTGCTATTTTTCCAGTGCCGATGAGTCACGTGCAAATGCGCTAACCAGACCTTATGTTTTGGGAAGGTGTCTGGCAAGTGCTTGCCCAGTGAAGAAAGCGACTGGCGAACGAGTGATTGTGGGGTGGATGGAAATACAGCGACAGACCGTTTGAAAAGGACGGATTGGGAAGGATCTGTGTGTTCTGTGTTCTTTCCGTTTCTCTTCGTTTTCGTTTCGTTGGATTGTGGCAGAGTACAGTGGTTTGCACAAGTATACAGTTTGTGCTCCAGTGCCTCAAGTTGAATGGGATCATGCAGTTTTATATTGTCCGCAAGACACAGGAGCTTTCTCATCTCATTTCACTCAACTTGTTTTGTTTGTTTGTGGCGACTTGCAGTCGTCCGCAGTGACGAGGGTTTGGACAGGCGACGGCAATGCACTGCGCACTTGCCTATATCAGAGACCATGGGGGCATAGCGTATGGCGCATCTTAAGTGGTTGCATGCCATCGACAGCCTGAATAAAAGCGGGGCAAATGGCGCACCAAGAAGCTTGGGCCCATCCAGATCTTCATGCACTAGGGGAGCAGCAGCAACCCTCCGCGCGCTGGAACTGCTTCCATAGCAACGGCTATTACACTGTAAATGCACTATTACAAGGCCTCGACAGCGCACATGCCATCATGACAAGGCCAGCCAACCATTCCATATTCGCGGCAATGCATCCGCGACGCGTTGCAGGGGGGCCTCGATGCTTGTGACCAATGCTTGTGACGTATGTCGGGTGTCTAGAGTGGATTTAAATAAGGAGTACGTGCTGAACACAAGGTGAGTTCACTAAGGTACCTCTATTGCGTGTAGTCCAGCACCGAGAGTTGGTTGCGATGTTGCGTTATGACACCTCTTCTCTTGTGCGCATAGCAAGTGTGTATGTTCTATCTGTCGACGTCCTCTGTTGCACACCCAGTCGCACTGCCAAATTTCTTTGAGAGCAAAGCCAGTGGCGTGATGCAATATGTCGTATGTTGTACGCTCGTACATCAGCTGCTTTTGGTAGAGATACTTGGCCATGATTATATTGGCCGCAATTGTCATAGATTCATGCATCCTAACGCGCAGACTTATTGGTAAGCTGGGCAGCATTGGCTATAAAGAACGGTTTGAGACTGTAAGTGTAAGACAAGCCGGGTTGGGCTAAAGTGCTGGTGACTTCAAATGGCCTCTGAGTTGGTCACAGTGCGTGCGACGTCCTATGGCGACGGCAGTCGATGGCTTGCATCGCACTTGCCAAACGACACGACCTTGTAACACCACCCGCGGCGTGTTGCCGAACAGAACTTCACCTAGCTCTCTTCATTTGCTGGTGGCTACGTAACTCTTTCCCTTCCGTCTGTGCGCGATCGTCTCGCATTCCCTTCGGGCTCTGGTGTCATTTTATAGTCTATAGCCAGCGTGTAAGAACCGATCACATCAATGCGACTGTTTACAATTGTGAGCTGGTCACCAAAGGACAGCAACCTCACATTCACTGAATCGTCGAGGAGGATATACCATAATATGGCTCCTGTCACTCGTTCTGTGAGGCAGAGAAGGGAGCTATGTTTAGTCTCTGCATCGCACCTTCCCCTGGCAACTATCTACGACTTCTTTCCTAAATAGGAAATAACTTGTATCCCAACCAGCACCCAAAAACATATCTTTGTTTTCGTCCACGGCAAGAGCACCTCGCGTGCCTACTTCGCACCATATTGCTGCGCTCCCAAGCTCGAGACCTTGTTTTGTCTCTTCCCGTCTGTTTACCTGCCAACCAGTTCAACTTCCACACTTCAGCTATATAATCTCCTTTCCTCACCCTCATTGGACGCCAGAGCTCGCTCTCAGTCACGTCCTCACGTGTCTTGACTTTCGACTGAAAGCACGCTGACGAGAATCACGCAGCTGCTCGTCAAGCACACAAGTCTCGTCTGACCGTCGACAAGTCGTGAGTACCTAGGCTCCATGTTCTATGTCTCTCTTAACTACTTTTAAATGACGGCTTTTGGCCATATGGCAGTTCAACCCCCGTGTTTCTCTTCATTGTGCTCTCACTGATCGTTGACCCTAAATATCAAAAGCACCACAATCTCGCTTACATCAAAGTGACTCCCAGATCACGATGGCTAGCAACGATGGCTTTCCAACCAGAGAGTCTGTCCTGTTGGCGATGAGAGTGAGTTTCGATCCCAGTGTTCTCCTGTCTTCATGTCATGCCAAATGTATCAACAAAACTAATGCTAACCTGCCCAGAACGACTTGGGCATGACACGAGTAGACGATCTTCAGCTGGAGAACGGTCATCGTGGTCACACCATCCGCACCGGAAATGCAAGCTCGATGATCATGGCACAGGCCACCGCCACCCCGAGAGAGATATTGCCGGTCGCGAGCAAGTGGAAATGTATATTTTGCTCCTTCGTGCCCTACAGCGTCCTTTACGCTAGTTATCAGTCTATTAACTTGAGAAGCTGCAATCCAATCCGGCGCTTTCGATGATGATGACGCAGAAACCGTCAAAGGTCTTGACCGGATCGGTGGTGGTAGACTGCACGCGCTGAACAATGTCCCCACCGTGCCCGCACAGTACTTTCCACAACGCAAAAAGCTCCCTCCCGGCCTCCCTCCCCCAGGTCTCGGACGAAACACGCCCTTCAATATTCAGCCGGACCCTCACCGGCCGGCAAAGTCGGTCCCAGGTGTTCCGTTCGCCGGCTTCGGACAACAAGATGCACGTTCAGCGGGCCTTCCCCCTGGTTTAGATAAAACGAGGTATATACAAACCGACCGATACTGGCCTCCTTACCTCCCACAAAATTGTCTAACATGTCAGCTGTAGTGCTCTTCTTTCGTTCAAAATGCCTCCCAAATCTGCACCGAAACCAAAGGGCTTCGGCACCGTCGACAGCGACGTCGTGCGTCGACTTGGAGGAGACTCACCTATGCCTCGGCGTATCGTACAGGTGCCAGAAAACACGGTCAGGAAACAGACACTCCCTGAACCTTCGTCCCCCGAGGTTAAAATCCTACGACCACAGGACCCAGAGCCAGCTTCGATTGTGTACAAGGAAGGCATCCGCGTGGCAGACAGGTTGGCAAAGGGAGAAGGAGTCGTGTACTTGGTCGCATTGTCCGACTCGGATCCAGGAACTTTCCACGTCTACCTGGAGGGCTCCAAGTATCTTGAGTACCCGGTCTTGAAAATGCACAATTACATCACCAACGCAACCGATCTCTGCCCTCAGTTTAAAGAGTCTGATGGCGTCTCGATTACCACGACGCGTCTTGTTTTTGGCAGCCAGGATAAAATTGCAAAGTTCATGGAGGTTCTTCGGAGCTTGAAAGCACGGAAGCAAGAACATGGTTCCGAAGCAACTGCGGCGAGTACGCCTGCACAGACTGCAAAGAAAGCGGTTTCCATTTCTACACCTCCCGAAGAGCCTGACTCCTCCCAGAATATCGATAGGGGAAGCGTGCTAGTCCCAAGCAAATCTGCCAAAGAAGACACACCTGGAGAAATAGCCCAAGCGACATACGACGTCAAACCAACTTCCACTCTCCCAAACGCTAGTACAAGAACCATATCAGCCGCAGAGAGTCCCTCGGCGGACTTGGTTCTCGAGTACGGGGACGACGACTACGGCATGGCGTGCGATCTTGTCGACTTGTCGCACCCAGTGGAGGTAACTGCTTCCAGGCCCCCGACTCGGTCTACCATGGCATCGTCCTATGTAATGGATCTTGGGTCTTTGCAATCGTCTCACTTTGAAACACCTGCAATGTTGTTGGACGTTGTCGAAGGGGTACAGGAGCAGAGTACTCCATTTGTGGCGGCTGGGGTGGGAGCTCTTGATACAGAGCGATTTATGGAACATGCCGCCGAGCCTGGGACAGGGCTTGTTACTGAACTTCTCACCGACCCTGTTGCAGTCCCTGTGGTAGAGCCTAAGACAGAACCCGATATGGACCTATCTGCAACAAATCACTCAGAGCACCCCTCCTTGCCAGCTGAAAAGGCCCCTGACGAAGCCATCCATCGTCCTCAGGGTGATGCCTTTGCAGAAGATGATGCCATGGGGAGCAAAATACGCCTCCAAGACTCACTCCTTGAGATATTGCCAAAGTTTGAGGCCATGGTCTGTATCCTAGACAGCGTCGACGAAGCGAAAAGAGTGGATACAGCTAAGTTAGTCTTTTCCAATCTTCGGTCAAGCCTGGGCAGCAAAACAAACGTCCACCTCTCGTCTGCAGAGCAGCTTCTATGGGCCATTCTCGCAAAGCTGTCCAAAGAGAAAGGGACTTCTGTGAAAGCTGCAGACATCGCGTGCCGGCTTACATACACTCGCGATAATGTCGAGAGACTACGGGACCGCGCCGCGCCGCCTCCAGAGATTCTTGACAAGCTTGACTTCTTGCCACGGCCGTCCCGACTGGGCCGTCCGAAGGCATCCCGCGCGCAGCCCCTGCACACACCATCGTCAAGCCTCACGGACAACAAAATACGGTCCAATCTGAAGCCTACAGCAGAGCCATTCCAGCCAAGCCCACCGCCCAAGATGAGTCAGACCAAATCTACAACTCGGCTTACGTTGACTAGTTCTACACTGGGCATGCGGCCTGCAACCACATCACCAGTGGCACTGAGCGACATTTCCAACTCATCAATCGCGAGCAACATTGATTCGTTGACCGCACGCATGTCTCGTCTCACTCCCCCGGACGCCCCGTCCAAAACGGCTACAAAGGGATTGCAAGGTTCCAGATGGGCGACAGCTGGCAATAGTGTTTCCACTGAGAATGCTAACCGTTTCATGGGTATCGCTATTCCCCCATAGTTTTCCTTTCCTTTCTTTTTTCTCTCTCCGACCATTGTGCGTCGGTGCTTTTTGCATCCTTGGTCTGCAGCTGCTGATCGAGATTTCAAGACGAGTTCTCCCACAGAATCGACTGCAGCAGCACTTCTATTTCGTATAGTGCTGCTGCCGCCATGGCCTTTGCGATCGGGGCTCTGCTTTCGCCAATTAGTCTCGCCATCTCCAGCGCGCACACCCGTCTCGCATGTGTTCATGATGTTTTCTTATTGTGCTTCTTTATTGTATTTCCGTTCATATTTGTTTATGTTTGTCACAATGTCTGATCATCATAAAGTGTGTCTGACAGGGAGGCTAGACAGGCAAGGCAAGGTGGTGAGACAGAGCAGCAGGTTCGTGGGAATGGAGGCAACCCGCAGAGGTGTGTGATGTACGAGAGAGGCCAACGTTATGTCAGGCACAAGGATCGTCGGTCTGCGTGGCAGGCCGGTCTGACGTATTTACATCTAGCATGCGCGAAGACTTCAAATATAACACTATAAAATAAAACACCATCGTCGCTGGCCAGAGCAATACACCGACCGATCAACGGCTATGCAGATGTGAAACGTGGAAACTTATAGCGTCATCATTCTTTCTTTTAAACATTTGTGTGGAATTTCATGACAAAATGCAGGCCCTGGTAAAATGAAAGGCCTAGTTGGCGCCAGCCCAGAACCAAAACCACAAGAAGCAACAACACGCCGACAAGAAGCAGGGGAATCAATAATACACCGGGGCAGGCGCGCAAGGAGAAAGAAATAGGCAGGAAATAGCACTCGTAGTACGAGGCATCACCGGTCTCTTGGGTCTTCTGCTGCTGCGGTCTTGTCGTGTGGCGCACTCAAGTAGTCGCCCTCTTCGGCTGCCTCGTACTCGCCAATAAGGTCCGTCACAACCTCCCGCGCCTCATCGAACTCGCTCAGATTGTCCGAGAAGGGTGCCGTCTTCTTATATGCGTCGATAAAGGCGTTGCGTTTCCGCATACCGTCGTACTGCCGAACAATGCGCTTGAAGAGCTGGAGACAGCAGTGTTAGAGAGATGCAATAAAACTAAAAGGGGGGTCTCAAGTACGTACTGTTGCTATGCTGGTGTGGTTGGCCAGCATTAGACCGCTCACGCGGTGGCTCATTGGCACGTACGGACTCCGTTTCGTCAGAGCTACTTGGATGCTCGCCGGGCCCCAGGGGATAAATGTGGCCAGTCTCCGTTCACGGATCCGCAGCAGACTCTTGTGCACGTCAGTCGGGTCCACTTCGCCCTGGATGACGTTGAGGATCGAAATGTAGCAGCTCTTGCGGCCGGCCTTGCCGCCAGGGCCGGGGGCCGTCGACACCATGCGGTTCTTGGGCTGAAGCAGGCGGCGCATGACGTCGAGCACGGTCGTCTTGCGCACCGTCTTGGCCTGCTCGACCTGGTCGCCGGTGAAGGGGGTGTAGGCGGTCATGAGGAAGTGGGAGCGCGGGGTAGGAATGAGCGAGGCGAGGATGCTGACGAGGTCGTTGTGCATGTAGCTGGGGTAGCGTAGTGTGGTGGTGCTGGCAGACATGACGGTCGACACCTGTGCAAAGGGCAAAACGTCAGTAAAACAGGACAAACAGGCATGCCATGCATGAACAGCTCTCCAGCTTTCCCAGCCTTACCAGTTGGTTCGTCTGCTGGAACGAGGGTTCCTGTACATGCAACCGGTCGGCGGCAATGTGGGACAGCGCGCCGTTGTCGAGCACAACGACCGAGTCGGCATTCTGCACCAACCGTCGCATGGCGAGGATGCTGTTGTAGGGGTGGACCACGACGTCGCCTGCAGCCGTGGTGTCCGGGAACACCGAGTATGTCTGGATGACCTTTTTCGGAAACCGGTCGTTGAGCCGCTCCAGCAAAAAGGATCCCAGACCAGACCCCGTACCGCCGGCAATCGAGTGCAGCAGCATAAAGCCCTCTAGGCTGTCACTGCCGTCCGCCTCCCGGTCGATCATCTCCATGATCTCCTCGTGCACTTGCTCGCCGGTCTGGTAACCGTCACCCCAGTTGTTGCCAGCACCGATACCGTTCTTGCCGACGTAAAAGTTCTCTGGGTTGTAGATGTTCTTGTACGGCCCGGTCTGGATGCCGTTGATCACGCGGGGCTCAAGGTCGATCAAGATGGCTCGCGGGATGTATCGCGTGTCGTCGCTCTGGTAGTAGAAGACGTCTTTCCGGTCGCCACCCTCCGTCGCAAATTCCTCAAGATTGCCATCTTGGCTGATGCCGTGCTCCTGACAGAGCTGTTGCCAGAACTGGCTGCCGACTGTCTGAGGTCAGAAAAAGAAACACTTTTGGCGAGACGCGGTAGAAAAGGCGGATACATACTGCTGTTGCCGCACTGGCCCGCCTGGATGGTGATGATTTCTCTGTTCAAATACCGTTAGTCACATCGCCACACTCATTCATATTGTGTTGCTCGTACCTAGGCATGTTGGGCTGCCAACGTGGGAAGTGTGGTTTCGTTATCGACAAAACCCAGGTCCAGGTGGTGAGGCGGCAACTTTTATGCCACTCTCACTGAATAGGGAAGCAACTGGGTACGACGCGTCGTTCTGGCGGTCACAGTTGACAAGGCGCGTTAACCACCCCGCTATTTACTATTTACTACAGCCGAGACCGCCTTTCCACACTCTCGGTACGCATCACGTGATTCCGTGACATCCATTCTTATCGGCCTCACTCCCCGTGAATGCAGATCCGATAACGTCGAGGGTCCCCAGCTGACGGGTCATATGTAATGGCATGTTTGTCTCGACCGGAGAATACCGAAACCAGACAGGTCATGATTTCTAGAACAAGGGTTTCTGTTACAGACTCGTCCAATGTGACGCCGTAAAGCAGTCCGTGTGACTTTGAACTCGACATATTATGTACGGGATAGTTCACGTTACCAATACCCTCGTAGACTGCCCAGGAAGACGTAACCAACTTCGAGTCAAGCCAAGCAGCTGGAGAACGTGCCAGTGTAAGGCACCCTCATTGATTGCCGGAGGCGACGACGTGCAAAGACGCGCACCAGAACGCGCATTAGTGCAAAAGACGGCTGCTATGCTTCAATCCGGTATTTCCCTTTCTGAGCGTCCTGGCAAAACGATCCTACCCTTGAATCCTCGCTCCTTCCCATGCGAAATGGATTTCGTTGAAGAAACACATTACAGATCTCCAGCCAGGGAAGGAGTGTTCCAAACACACCACATGCGCGCCTTCCGTAAGATACCAGCCTTCTGTACGCCTAAGTTCTAGGCTTTCAGCTTAGCCTATCACGGTGCGGTAACCACCACGCTTTAAAAGAATGGGCTGACATCACCAGTGGGGCGAGCCTAATTTCCTCCTGTAAATGAACCCGCTAGGCGCGGTTAGTCGCCGCAAGACACCAAGCGAGAAAAAGGGAGGAACGGAAAACCCATGCAGGAGAAGGAGCTTTCGCCAGTACCTGCCTCCAAGTTCAGACCTCAGTCCTCGTTACCCCATAGTGCAGCTCTTATCCTCACTCGAGGACTTTCGCAACAAACCAAAACTGCATCTCAATCACGGCGGTCCTCAACAGTAGCCACAACCCCAAAGACCGCCATTGGACTACAGCTGCCTCCTGCATCTTGCCCTGGCCCCAAATTCGTCTCCCGCCAGCATCAACCTGCGTTCGATCGGAGCTTCCGGTTGGAGCGATCTTTTCATCGCAATCCTCCCAATCCGGCGCAGCAAGTGAACTCTGCAAGAGACGAACGTGAACGACGCCAGCCACAGAACAAAGAGTCCGAGTCCATTGGGTGCTCACCGCCAGTACCAGACGACAAAGAAAGAAAGAGTCCGGACGACCAGCAGCTTCCACGTTTCCGCGTTCAGCCAAGCTTCCCTATCCCTCACATCCAACACGTCGACCGATCACGAAGCGAAATAACGCGCACATCTTGAGTTTGTTCATTCGTTACAGCCGAGTGAGCACCAATCTTTCCTGCTTACGACCTCCTGTGGCAGCTGTGCATGGCCGCGGTCGTCCTGCAGGTGCTAGTGCAGACGTGGCCAGGCTGCCTTACAGTATGTCGTTGGAAAGCAACAATTGTCCTTGACATCCTTCTATCGTCCTATCCCGTCCAATGCCCCTCGACTTTGTCTCTCAGCAGGCTTCACCTATCGCCACCTTGATCTACATGCACGTCTTTAGTACCTTGTTGTATTCTGTTCTGCTTGTCTAACTGCTTTTTTCCTTTGCCCAGGCCGGCCGTTCGAGTGCCACAATAGAGACTTCCTGCGAACCGCGTCAGGATGTCTGCACCCGTCGATGATGGCTCTCGACCGCCAGTAAGCAACAGTGCCGGTGAAGCCCTTATGCTTGGGGCGGCACCATCCGTACACGAAAAAGACCTACCCCCAATACCAGAGTCTGCTTCTACGGCAGCCCCTGCAGCACCACAGAGCAATGGGTCAGCTCTCGTTCTACCTAGGAGCGGCCTGACCTCCGACCAGGTGTCCCCAGCAACATCCCTCCCAGATCGAGACCAAGGTGCACAAAACGAAGCAGAGGACTACCTCAACGCCGGACGGCCGCACGAAAGCTATGCTACCACCGGCGTAGACGCCCTGGCGGCCTACGACAACAGCATGGCAACCGCTTCGGGCACGCGTTCCATTCGAGAGGCGGCCGATAAGGGCCACGAGGGCGTTGTTGATTCGCCGCCAATAACGCCCGGCCCGAGACGTCGCCGCAGCGTCCAGTTCTCGCAGTCGAACGTCCTTATTGACCCGCCATCAGCTGCTGCAGGATCCCATCAGCGCCAAGGCTCATGGGACCCAGCCAACCCGTCCCGTTCCAGACAGTTCATGTCCCGTCTAAAGGCCCTGGCTGTGCAAGGCGGTCTTCCTGCAACCAAAACGCCCGGTTCCAGTATACCAGACGGCGCACCGGTATCAACAGCCAGCACGCCAGCAGGAGCCCGTGGAAGTCGACTGGCACAAAGCCTGAACGGAAACGACAGCGAAGCGGAAGCCGATGCCGATGCGGACGCCGAGGAAACGGCCGACGAAGGTACGGGCGATATCACTGGCACCCGACCCAGGAGGCGCAAAAGGCGAATGTACATCCGCTCACGACGGGGGTCGCACACGGCCGGTCCGTCAGCCGCACCTGCTTCTACGGGTGTCTCGACCGAGCCAAACTCCCCGCTCCCTGCGAACCGACATCGCAATATGTTGATGCAGCGGCGCGCAACAATGCCCGACACATCAGAGCCCCGCGGTGGGCTGTCTGAGGGCGAGGGTCGTGACCACCTCAACCGCCAGCATGGGTGGCGCCGTGGCAGTTCATGGGTAGGACGGAGTGAAGAACCTGATGCTGGAAATGGCGGCCCGTCTTCGGGTCGCGCCGTTGGCCACATCCGTCGCATGACTGTCTTTGGCGGTGGCGTTTCGGACGGCGACGCTATGACGCCTCGTCGTGCATTCTTCACTGGAGACCGGGCTACGACCTACGGTGCACAAAAGTGGCGGCAGGTCAAAAACACTCTGAAGCTTCTGAGGCAGAAAAAGGAAGACAGCTTCGACTACATGAAATCGGCTGAGCTGATGGCGGAGCTGCGGGCGGGCGCCCCGGCTGCCCTGATGCTTGCCAGTATGATCCAACGCGATGAGCACGGCAACAAGCGGATTCCTGTGCTCCTCGAGCAGGTCAAGCTGACCATCCGGGAGAGCACCCCCGTCCAAGATGGCGACAGCGAGCGCCACTGGCTATTTACCATCGATCTTGAATACGGCAGTGGCCCCAGTAGGATGAGGTGGACCATCAAGCGCACCATTGGAGAGATTCTTGAGCTCCATTGGAAGTACAAATTGACACGCAACGACAAGTACCTCCACACGCCTCAGACAGGTGGGCGCCCGAAGCAGCCTAGGTTCCCCATCTCTGCGTTTCCCTATGTTCGCGGTCTTCGCGGCGTCAAACTGGACGACGAAGACGATGCTGCCAGTGTCCACAGCGATGAAGGCGCACCAGATGGCAACGGCACAGCCGGGGACGGTACTGCCGGCGAAGGCACGGCGACCGAGGCGGAAGGTCCTGGTGGTCGCGTGAACTATCGTCGGAGGAAGTCCCGTATCGCTGTGCTGGGTGGCATCACGCGGCGTCAGTCCGCGCAGGTCAATCCTGACGGCACGCCAGTGGCTGGCGATCTTCTCGATGAGGCGGCCGCACGACGCAAATACGTTGAACGCCAGCAGCGGATGCTGCAAAAATATCTGAACGAAATGGTGCACTGGCTTATCTTCCGCGCCGACAGTAACCGTCTCTGCCGGTTCCTCGAGCTCTCTGCGCTGGGCGTGCGTCTTGCTGCGGAAGGCAGCTACCATGGCAAAGAATGTTTCCTGCACATCCAGTCGTCCAAGGGCCTTGATTTCCGCCGCGTCCTGACGCCTGGGAAAGTCATTGAACGCCACAGCCGCAAATGGTTCCTTGTCCGCCAGAGCTATATTGTTTGTGTCGAATCGCCCGAGAACATGAATATCTACGACGTATACCTCATCGATCCCAAGTTCCTCATTATTTCCAAGACCAAGCGCAAGCAGCAGCAGCTCGCCAACGGAAAGAGTTCCGTCACTGCCGCAGAACTGGAGATGTCTACCAGCAAGAACCGCCTGAAGCATCACACACTCACCCTCCTGACCTCAGAACGCAAGGTCAAACTATGGGCCCGTAACCAGCACCTCATCGGTCAGTTCGAGGAATCCATCGTGGACATGCTCAAGCAGACCCCTTGGCATCGCCGAAATCGCTTCGACAGCTTTGCCCCTGTCCGCACGGGCGTGTTCGCCCAGTGGCTCGTCGACGGCCGTGATTACATGTGGAACGTGTCCCGCGCCATTGCCATGGCGAAAGACGTCATCTACATTCACGACTGGTGGCTCAGCCCGGAGTTGTATATGCGCCGACCTGCCTGCATCAGCCAGAAGTGGCGCCTCGATCGTCTCCTACAACGCAAAGCCGCCGAGGGCGTCAAGATCTTTGTCATCATCTACCGCAACGTCGAGGCTGCCATCCCCATTGATTCCGAATACACCAAATTCTCACTCCTGAATCTGCACCCCAACATATTTGTGCAGCGGTCGCCCAACCAGTTCAAAAAGAACCAATTCTTTTTTGCTCATCACGAAAAGATTTGCGTCGTGGACCACGATGTGGCGTTCGTTGGCGGCATTGATCTCTGCTTCGGCCGCTGGGACAGCCCGCAGCACAGCCTTGTGGATGACAAGCCCACCGGCTTCGAGATGGACGAGCAGCCCCGCGATGCCGACCACACACAGCTGTGGCCCGGCAAAGACTACTCAAACCCGCGTGTCCAGGACTTCTTCAGTCTCCGCGAACCGTACAAGGAGATGTACGACCGCACCAAGGTGCCCCGAATGCCTTGGCATGATGTGGGCATGCAGATTGTCGGTCAACCTGCGCGCGATCTGACTCGACACTTTGTCCAGCGCTGGAATTACGTTCGCCGCGGTCGGAAGCCGACACGTCCAACACCGTTTCTGCTACCGCCCCCTGACTATCGGAAAGCGGACCTGGAAAACCTGGGCCTGTCCGGCACGTGCGAGGTTCAGATCCTTCGATCTGCATCGGCCTGGTCGCTCGGCATCACCGATGTCGAGTGCAGCATCCAGACGGCCTATATCAGTATGATTGAGGAATCCGAGCACTTTGTGTACATTGAAAACCAATTTTTCATCACGAGCACAGAGACACTCAATGTTAAGATTGTCAACCGTATTGGCGATGCCCTGGTGGAGCGTATCATCCGGGCCAACCACGACGACGAAGATTGGAAGTGCGTCATTATCATTCCTCTGATGCCTGGTTTCCAAAACTCCGTCGCCGACCAGGAGGGCACCAGTGTCCGGCTGATTCTCCAGTGCCAGTACCGAAGCATCTGCCGTGGCGAGAACTCCATCTTTGGTCGACTTCGTGCTGCAGGCATCGAGCCTGAGGACTACATCCAGTTCTTCAGCTTGCGGCAATGGGGCAAGATCAACAACAAGACGGTCCTCACGACCGAGCAGCTGTATATCCATGCCAAAACCATCATTGTGGATGACCGTGTGGCCCTGATTGGCTCGGCCAACATCAACGAACGGTCCATGCTGGGTGACCGCGACTCGGAGGTAGCGGCCGTTGTTCGCGATCGCGACATGATATCGTCAACGATGGCCGGAAAGCCCTACCGTGTAGGCCGGTTCGCGCACACTTTACGTCTCCGCCTCATGCAAGAGCATCTTGGTCTTGACACGGACGAGATTATGGAGGACACGCGCCGCGAAGCCGAATTTGAGGCAGAGATGGACCAGATCTACAGCGATGCTGGCGAGACGGATGGAGGCCACGACGACGACGACAACTCCACAATCCGGTCGGATATCTCTCCAGACGGCGTAGCGTCCCCGTCCCAGGCACGAGCTGATCGCCTTCGCTCTTCTGGCGAGGTTGGAGCCGATGTGAATGGCGTCCCCGGCCCCAGCGCGACGCCTCCCTACTCCAGGCTGCAGCGCGTCAACAGCTTCAACCACAACGTTGACTTGGATGCCTTCCCATCTGAGGAAGCGTCGTCCATAAAGTCCAGACGGGCGTCCTTAGCAATGCCCACGTTGAACAAGGAAGGCCACATCGAGCACCCGCCTGACAGCGAGATGCAGGCACTGGATGTGTACGGCCATGGCGAGGACCACTGGACGGCGGCTAGGAAGAAGGGCATCGACCGGCTGCGGGATTCAACCGTTGTTGATGATCATGAATTCCTCGTCAACGGCTCTTTTGACGAGGGCGCAAGAGACGAGGAGACATTCCTTTCCCGGCCTGTTGATGGTATACCTCACCACACGGCGTCCCGGAGTAGCGCTGCTAAAGACCGCGAACGCGACGGCGCCCCGCACGCTTCGACTGCATCGATCCCTAACACAGCCAGTACTGGCAATCAAGATGTGCTGCCGCCTGTGCCAACCGAACAGGCAGCCATACAGGAACAGACTCGATATGAAGCTGCCGGCGTGCTGCCGCCGCTGCCTGTGACTGACGATACCGACATTGGCGGTCCCCCAAACTACCCAGTCAATCCTTTGGCAGCCGACATTCATCTTGCCCGCATCACGCGGGATTGCATGCGCGATCCTCTGGACCCGGCTTTTATCGATGATGTGTGGAACCGCGCCGCGGAGAACAACACCAAGATCTACCGACGTGTGTTCCGATGCCTTCCGGACTCCGAAGTGACCAACTGGCACGAGTTTCAGGAATTCGTTACCTACGGTACTCGGTTCCAGGAAAGCATGGAAGTCCGTAAGAAGGGCGACGATAACGAACGGACCGAGTCGGGCAACAAGGGCCACGATCACGCCCGGCACGCGGCAGGTGGTGGTGCCGGCATTAGCGTTCCTACACCGAGCGCCCTAGACGCCATTGCCAGCGTCGGCGAAAAGGTCGCCAGCGCGATGTTGCACAATCAGACAATCCACCTCGACAACAAGAAGAGTGGCAGCAGCGGCGGGCAAAACAGCACGGAGCGGCCAGCGACCAAGGACAGCTTCCCGTCGGAGACGGACATGGGCCCGGGTGACCCCGGTGAGGTGTCCAACAAGGCGGAGATGGAGAAGGCGGCCGCAGCCGATAACGCGCTGAAGCGACGTCCGTCGTCTGTGTCGGGATGGCAGCACGGATCGGTCCTGCCCGACACCACATCGCCGCTTTTCGGTAGCACTACGGATGTCATGGACGCCATGGCGAACCATACTGGCGAGACGATGGGTGAGAAGACGGGCGTCGGCGCCGCAGGGGTTGCAGGAGCAGCGCCTGCTGGTGTAGCAGACGCAGCAGCAGCAGCAGCAGCGCCGTCCAAAGGCAAGGGCCGTCGCACGACGTTCTCGGAGCAGGAGAAGCAGCCGCGGCTGCCGGAGAAGGACGGCGGCATTAACAACGCCGACGCCAACAGCACGGGCAACGGCAACACCACTAATAACGGGTTGTCGAACTTGACAGCAACGGCGACGGGAGCCACGGCGGCCACGGCGGCCACGGGCAACGGGACCAATTCTGGATCGGTCAAGCGTCGCAAGCGCGCGACGACACGAAGCAGCCGACGCGGCTACCAAGGCGGCACGGACGAGGTACTGTCCAAGGCGGACGCCGAGGACCTGCTCAACATGATGCAGGGCCACCTGGTGCAGTTCCCATACGACTGGCTTATTGTGGAGGAGAACAACGGCAACTGGATGTACCAGGTGGACCAAGTTGCGCCGCTGCAAATTTAGTACGTTTTTCTTCGAAGTGGGCTGAGTGATTGCAATATTCGTTTACTAACCAAGCTCTCTGTGTAGCAACTAAATGGATCGAAAGCAAAGTCAATGGCGACCCTGCCTTTGAGGCATTACTTTTGTAATGTGTATTTCGTTACTGCGGTCTTGGGTACACCTCATGGCATGAACTTTTGGTTTAGCAAAGCGTGATGCGTTTTTGTATTTTCTCAACCTTTGCTTTGCGTTTGAAAACGGGTGTATTGTCCTTATTTTATTGGTTTTTTTGTTTCCTTTCTCCCTTACGCTCCATTTTACTCCACCATTGCACTACTTATTATCCATATTTCTTTACTGGCAAAGGCCAGTGTTTATTCATTCCGTTTGTATTCAAATGGCCATGCTGCCCGTGCACTCACGGAGCACGTTTCTTTATGGTTGCAAAGAAGGGCAACAAGCACCAGTAGACGTTAACAACAGACATGAGAATTATTCCAACGCCGCAGTCCACATCGGGACTCGTCCAAAATCTTGAAAGTATGTCGTGTTCGTGATATATGGCAACGCCGTCTCGCAGAATAACTCCTGGCAGTGCTCACAAACTCCAATACGTCTTGTGCCACCTCAACTAGAACAATATATGGAAAAATATAATCATTTGTGACACCAAAGAGTCTGTTTACAAATCTTGGCACCAAAGAGGGCTAGGAAGTAGAAAAAGTCAACACAGGGTCAAAAAGTACCTTCCTCGACAATCAAAACAAGCAACGGTTGTCTATCAAGTCCATGTAGTATTTTAGGTTATATTCTTTCTACAAAGTCCTTTCTTCATCGAAGCTCGTGCAATTGAGGTGAGTTGCCAATTTAGGTGCTTGTAGACAGCCACATAAAAGCAAGATTCAATTTCGATATCGTCAACAATTGCAATCGATGTAACGCCAGACACAAGGGGCTATTCGTCTACTGCTAGCCACGTCGTGCACGCTTCAGCTTCGAGCCCTTGTTGAGTCATAGATATCAGACGATGTTGGAGCTGAAGTTGCCGCAGCATATCGTCCCGTCGCCCCGAGATGGGGCCGGTTCTTACCACCACCGTCACCTGATCCTTCCATCCATCCAGCCCTAAAATAAACATCCCTTTCGGTATGTCGACGATCCGGCGGCATATGCATCGTAGGATGCGGCACTGATGCACGCGTCTCACCTGTCCCGTCTCATCTGCTTCGGCTGATTCTCTGTCATCGTGAGCCGCTTCGTATCGTGAGCGACTTTCAGCCTCATCCTCTTTCCTCTTCATGAGAGTGTTTGCTTGGCTGCTGGTGTTTATTTTCGTCGATTCCTTCAGGCTCGTGTTCCACTACCTTACCTTTTTTTCTTCTTTTTTTTCGACAATCTCGACTGCGTCTATATTTGTTACTGTCTCAAGTCCTGAGCTGCGTGCACAGCCACCGTTGATTGTTTATTTTACCCCTTCCTTTAATACAGCCGCGTCTGATGATACAGACGCAGAAGTCGTATATTGCTTCTTCAGCTCCTCTGCAAATCCCGCACGGCCACAATTTCTACGCGCGTCGCTTGGGAACAACAACGACAACCACAAAAAAAGCAGTAGCCGTAGCATTTTGGCCTCCAGCGCATGTCGCGTCTTTTTTTTTTCTCTTTTTTTTTCTTATGTCGGTCCCCTTTTGGCCCGAGCTTCCCCACCCTTTTTCTTTTCCTTGATTTAATTTGGCTTCCAGCGTGACTTTTGTCGCCTCCCTCGCTTGCTCACCCTCCTCTGATCGGACGAGAGTGAGTGGCATAGGGTGGACAGTAGATCGCCATGCCCGCATATGGTTTGTGCACGAAATGTAGCCTAACAGCTGCAGCCTCACACTGTGGGGTGCGGTTGAATTTTGAGCCTTCTCTCGTGGAAAGCGGGAAATGGGCAGTCGGTCTAAAAATAACCCACTTTTTAAGCGCCCACGCCTTCCCCCAAGCCCTCTAGGCCCATAATTGTGGGTCTGGTTTGCGCGGGAAACGAACAACACAGAAGGTGCGACGAAAGAAACGAAAGAAAACAGTGAAATAGGGGTGAAAATCAACAGAAAAAAAATCATGGTGGCGATGCAATTTCTTGTTCTTGCTCAAGCGCAGCTCCAATACTCGGCAAGTTCGGCATTCATATTGTCTGTCGTGGGACTGCTACTTATTTTTCTATTAAAAAAAAATAACAGAGCATGACGACCTAATTTATTGACAAATTCATGTCAAAGTGAGGCTGAAGAATAAGTGAGGCCATTGTTTTGCGCCCTGTTGAGGCTCTTCTACTTTGTTAATTTTTCTGAAAAACTACCGAATTATTTCTGTTTGTTTAGTTTATCCTTTACTTCGACGAGCACTGTTATTTTTGTCCTAGCTGAACTGTAAGACAAGAAGCAAGGGCGCGGCTTCAGAGTGCAGCATTTTGCGACAAAGGGCGGGACTTGAGAGAAAGGACGCTTCTTTCTTTCACTAAAACTTTTGTCCATCTCAAATTGTTCTATTCCTTGTCTGTTTGGGACTCGAACAGAATGAAAGTCATAGGCCCAGGCCCAAGTTGAACCCAATGAACCACGGCCATTGGTTGATATGAAGCGGCTTCAGGGCGTCGGGCGGACAATGATGAGAGCAGTGTACTTTGAGGCTCTGGTTGCATCTAGGACTTGTGTCTCTGTAAAGGAGCGCTGCCATCTCATGCATTTCCTGCTCATTGCGGCTCATTCCTTCTGGTTCCGTGCTTCAATTCTTTGGCGGGTTTATTTTGCATCTGTCATCGTACATCATCATCACCAGAAAACGTTCCTGTTATGGCTGGCCCATGGTCATTTGGGATGGCCAAGTCGCTGCCTCGCACAGCCCTTGCATAAAATACCCGCCGGCAAGTTAGGCGGTGCACCTGCTGCATGCACTTGTGTACACGCAGAATGCAACGAACATGCACACACCATACACTTAACAGCACGCATCGCATCATATAGTGCGTCTTGGGTTATGTCGGATAGCTGGTTATTGGAGGAGAATGGTTATTTTCTTGCGCCGAGCACTGCATGACAGGAGGGAGTGGAGGGAGTGAAGGGCAAGACTCAATCGGCGCAATGTAAGCTGGGCGCAGGCTCGTTTGCAGATTCCGTTCTCTGGTTCCGTACTGTGTAAGTTACGGGAAAGCCTTTCTCTTCTAATTTTCTTTCGTAGGTCTCGGCATAGGACAGGGATGAACAGCCGAATAAGGCGAGGGTGATGCAGCCAGAATCCGGGCCGAAGTGAGCACAAGAAGGCTGTTGAGACGAAAGCAGACGCTTGCAGGAGACGCAGGCAGCAAAATAATGAGAAATGAGAACAATGGGTAGTCCGCTCGACCGCTGCCGCACCTTTCTCTTGCCTCCCATCTCGTTCTGGGGGTTGAACAGGCCTGCAAGCTGCCATTTACCCCGTCCTGGGGGAGGGGCACTGGACCTGGTCGATGCAACCACAAACAGTCGACAATTGCGTTGTGCGACGCTCGGCGGCGTCCTGAGTGATCTTGCCGGCCACAAAAGATCGCGGCGACCGGGCTGGTGACGACGTCCCGGAAAGCACAAACAGCTTCTGATCATCCATCTTCCGTCATCTGTTTTTGCCTTCCCGTGGCCCAGCAACAGACCCGGGCGCAAAACCGTCTGCTATGTGCTTTGCCGTCTGCCGCTGGAATCCAAGGCTTAGGAGCAACATACATCGTAAGAACCAACCTGTTTGTCGCTCGGGCAATCCTTGGCCCTTCCTGCCGCCTTGTGCTCCACGGCTCCGGGTGTGAACCGTTTGGACCCTTAAGAGAGCATGCGTCGTATTTATGCCGTCGGGCACTTGCCGAGATTGCGTATGTGTGCGTGTGTGCACGTGTGGTACGGAAGTTGGGTTGTTCCTTCCTTGTTGAACAATCGTTCCTTCTCTGTTGCGAATGTTTGTTTTCTTTCCCGCATTGGTAACTTTCTGGTCGTGCCTGCTATCAATGATCAAAACAGCGGCCGAAGGGAAGGCCCGGGGTTAGCAGGACCCTGTTGACAGATGGTGCTGCAAATAGCCGCGCAGGTGGGGACCACTGTCTGTCGACCATTGTCCACTGATAATGCACCGTCCAGAAAGTTTGCCCAACTCATCCACTGGGAAAACACGCTGCATGCAACGAGGAAATGACCATCCTATTACACAACACGTTCGATCCCGTCTGTCTTCCTTTGCGAACTGAAGAACGGGGTTCGGATATCTGGCCTTGGTTAACAGTTGAGCTCAAAAGAAAAGTAGAGACAAAACAAATTCAAAAAAATAATCAGTAAACAAAATAAAAAAAGTGAGACAAGTGACAGAAGTGACAGAAGGACACGACGGGGAAGTAGGCGTACGTGAGAACGAGGTGGGGGGCAGGCAAAGGAGGCTTGCAGTGCGTGTGCATACATCGACTGCCCCTCATCTGTTCGACCTTTCACTCCATGCAATCTGGTGCGTTGTCCTCGATGAATGGGATGGTGTCACAACATGCAGCCTGCATATCAGATGCAGCTTGTCAGATTTGCTCCATCTGCTACCCTGTAAGCTCAGATCTTTGTATCTACTTGCACTCCTAACATTTACCAATTTATTTTTTCCCCTTACTTTTATTTTCCTCGTCTCCATTTGTCTTCATTTCTACCTCTCCCGTCACCTTCCGCCTGCCTGCGAAGTTGGGTCGGTTGGTTGTGCCACAACGTTGCGGAAGTTGCAAACAAAGTACGCAACGGCATACCAGCCAACGGCATGCCAGCCGAAGAGATACTCTCTCGCACATACTTGCTCTCGCAAACCACATGCACAACGGTCCATGCGACTCGAGCATATGCACTCGATGGCCGCCTTTGCCATGCTTCTGAAGCACAAAAGAACCCGGCCAAATAGCCAGGCACTACTAGACATGACGACTAGAAAGGGCAACAGATATTGAGACAAACCAGTAAACAGTTCCGTTTTCCCTCGCTGGCATGGCCCTCACCGCCTCTTATCAGGGGACGCCCCCTGGACACCTTCTACCAAGCCTTCTTTACACGCGCGGGCTAGATTGAGACGCTCCCTCCATAATCGACAATAACACAACAGAAGGACTACCGAGAAGATAGAAACGACCAGATATGAAGGCACATGCTTCCACTCTGCAGCCCCCGCGCCGCGGAAACAGACTAGTCCTTCCGTGCATCGTCACTAGCACAAACACCCACGGGCACGGAAATAATTGCCTGAAGATCGGTCGATGCTCGCAGCTCTGTGCTTTTGTGGAATTTCTGTCCCTTTTTCCTCTTCGTATATTCAAATCTTTGCTGCATCTCGTTGGTCTTGTTCTGGGCCCTGGTCCACTCCTCGCTCTGTCCTCGTTTACCTTTACGAGATATCCCTCCTTCCCCAACCATTTTTTCTGGCCGTGCCATGTTTGGCCTTCTTTTGTTCTCTCGTTCTTCTTTCCTGCTGCCTCGCTCCTTTATCTTCCGCGTCTGGCGTTGAGACCATCGGTTAGTGACAGTCACTGCCTCGCCAAACTGCACCTTTCCGTTTCTGCCCCCAAAGGATATGTCTGTGGTTCGCATTCCAAGTGCATGATGTTAGCCCCAACGGTGTACTGAGGATGGAGACGGCCCCCTTCCTCCTCCCCATTCGGAACACTACCTTTTTGTTTCGTCTCTTTCAGAAGTAGGTTGGCATTCAGCTCTATCCACACTCGTGCCACACTTGTGAGGCTAAACAAGGACAGGGGCGGCAGTGAAGAGACAAGTTACATGTATCTTTGCGCCCTTTAACGAGCTACCCGTCAAAGAAAATTGCACAAAATTTCGTCAACGACAGACAAGAGCAGCCAGAGGGGATGCAAAGATAAAAAATGGGGCCACAAACATGCCCGAGACCAAACGTGGACCACAAAGTTCACGATGGTTCGTTTCTGCCATGTTCTATGTGAACTCCGTACAGACTAACAAGCTCTGTCCTTTCCATCGCTGGCGCCGGCATGCCGTGTACAAAAGAGGCATTTGCCCGGCCGTGGATCCAGCCCTCGCACACAGGCCGGTCAGATCTTTTGCGCCTTCTGAGAAAGCCCCGTCTTTTCCAGTATCCTTTTTTTCGTCCTATTTTCTCTCACTCCCCCGCCCTTCCTCCCGTTTCGTGTCCTGTCCTTTTTTGACCTTTTGTCCAAGGGGATCGCCCGGCCGAAATATCAACCCGTGCGGCAACCCTCCATCAGACTACGGCGCCTATTTTCTGCAAGGCAAGTTAGGCGGAAAATGGCGGACGAAGCAGAAGCCATGAACCATAAAAAAAAATGGAGATCAAAACACGACGACGCAACAATGCCGGGTGTACTCCGTATCCTTTTTGTCAAACTCCAAACTGCCAGCAAGGAATCAAGGGGGGTGCTGTTGTCTTTCTTCGTTTCTGTCTTCTTCTATTGATTTCTTGTTCACACCAGAGGATGTGTACTATTTTGAGTTGTTTTTGTGTTGATGGCCGTGACATCCCATTGTTCTCGGCATTTTTCCGATAGCGGGTGGCTGCACTGTTCAGCTTCTGGGGTAACAAATTTGGCTTTGGCCTGTGCGTGCCATCTCCTCTGCCATTCTTTTTTTGTTTTTTTTCGTTGCTATATTATTTTCTTCCCCCTGTCAGCCATCATCGTCCCATGTGCTTTCCCCTCTCCGAGCACTGACACTTCACACATCATACACCCAAGGCACTGTCAACATTCAACACCCCCACCCCCAGGCCCTCTGCCTCTTACGACGTAATACATCAAGCCTTTTCCCAGCACGACTGCTACGCCACGCCCACTCACACATGTGGCCGCCAGAACGGGCCCCTGTTCCGTGACTCTCGGGCCATCTCGATGATCTCCCAATTAGCATAGTGTCTCAGCAGCCGTCAGGTTTTGTGCAGCCTCTCCTTATTGTGTGGTTTTTTTTTTTTTGCTCATTTTTGCCGCATTTTCAGGCGATTTCTTTCATTTATTATCCCATTATTATTTATTCTGTCATACGTGATTAGACGCCCCATCCCTACAGGCTCTCGCGCTAACATTGCTAGCCTACACTGTTGGTTCTCACCTCCGTCAAACTGCCTCGCCTCACTTTCGTCCACGTCGTCTCCCCTTTCTTCGTTCTACTTTCACCGTGACGGGTCGATGTTTCTTCTTCCCTTTGTTGTGTTATTCGGTTTCATCACTGTCTCCGTATCGTCTTCCTCCGCCGCCCGTGTCCCCTAACCCGATATGTCCTCTCGTCAGGGACACTGCGTTGATATGGTCTGTTGGTCCTCCGTAGGTCCACTGCACCTCCCAGTCGCGTCTTCCCTCCCTCCTCTCCATCTCAGCACGTAGCGTCTACTCCCGGTTGCGCAGATTGCTTCTCTAAATGGATCCCTACTTGCCTGTTCTCGGCTGTGGTCCCCACCATCCACCCTGGCTGCCTACCCATCTGCCTCTTTTTGTCTTGGGCTCCCCACTGTCTTTCGTCCTGGTGGCCCCAAACCCGCTCCGTCAAAGTGTTCGGCTCCGGCGTTTACACAAAGACATTTGCTGCCAGAGTGCCAATGTAACTGGAGACCGTTGTAGCTGCTGTGCAGGGGGGCCATCTGGCGTGGTTTGTGACGAGGGGAGAGTGGAAAACAAATGCAGAACAAATTTCGAGAAAATAACCAGGACTGCCTTGTCGAGTCAAGCATGTCGTTGAACAAAGAAATGCAAGAAACAAAATAAAACTAAAGCTGACGCTGAAGACAGGTCAATGCATACGGCTGTTCGCACATGGGGGCAGGAGCGAGAGAGTATACAAGAGGGGAATGTGGTCTTCGTAAGGACTACTGCCCAAGGGGTATGAATTCAAGGTCGCACTTCCCCTGGTATACTACGTTTAGTAACAATCTGTTGGTAGCAAATAGAAGGAACCGCGATTGGGGGCCTTGGACGTGAAGAAATGGAAGGCACGATGGCCACGGCAGAGCAAGACCAACAGCGCAATATCGCGGCTGGAAGGGAAAGAACGAGCATGGCAGAGACGGTGGAGGGCACAGAATATTCCAGGGTAAAGACTAAGTAATTACAACATACAACCATCATCGCAACCCCCGTAGTTGAGCTCTACGCATGGTAGCCATAATGGGCAAGCTGCCCAGGCCTCCCTGGCGACAGGTGCCTCTTGCCACGCGGTGCATCCAGTGCTGCTGTCGCTGTTGGGGGCCACCGCAGTTGGTCTCCTGAAGGTCGTCCCTTCCTGGTTTGGCGCTTGGCCTCATTTTTTGGCCGTTTGTCAGTCAAGTCCTCCTTCCCTCCTTCCGCCTTCTACGATGTACGACATACCTCTTTCCTTCTAGCTTTGTCTTGACAGTGTGGCTCCTTCCACAAGCTGCATGTCGGTATGTACTTTCTTGCTCACGCGTCGTGCGTTTCATGCAGCCTCTTCTCGGCTCTCCGATTCCCCGTCTCCATTTTTCTTCCTTGTAGCATTTTCTTCTATTATTCTACCACTACAACTACTATTATTATTATAATTATTTTTGCTTCGTCCACCAGCTATTCTTTGACCTCGCCGATCTCATCCTCGAGCCGTCTCTCGACCTCCCATATCTCTCTGGTCCCTTTACTTCCCTGACTCGGGAAACACCCCAACACACTCTCTGAGCACCCCCTTTACTCTCCCTTCCACACGCCCGTACTTTTGCGCTCTTCTACATGCTCTCACATCCTCGGGCGGCCTGTTCTACGGCCCTTTGTATGCCTCTCTCCTCTTCACGCCTCCGGTGCGCCAACACCATACGCCAAACTCCAACACACGTCAACGTCCTTTCGCATGTCAGTGTCTGTCCTGTTGCAACTCACACACTGGCGTCGGATATGCCCTACGAACGTACCTCGTAATGTCGTGGTCTTCGTCCCGTTTATTTCTCATCGTCCCACACCCTCCACTTCTGTTCGTGCAGCCTGTCCCGTTGATACTTTGACATCCGTAAGGATAACCAAACATAGAAGGGGACGAAGAAAATGGAAGAAAGTGCACGAATTGTATTCGTTTCTTGTCAAAAAAGTAGGGAAAAAACTGCATGGCATCGGGCGTCTTTTCTCGCTTCTCTTCTGTCCTTCCCTTGATATCGGATCCTCATAAGGCACTCTTCGTCCCGATCGTCTTTATTTATTCGAAAAGAAACTTTCAAGTTTTAGTTTTTATTTCCTCACTCTTCTTTCTCTTCGTTCTCTTTTTTCTCAACTTTCTCGACTTTCTCTGCCAGACTCTCGTTCCTCGGCTCGTCTGGTTCGCAATCCCTGAACGTTTTAGGCCTCAAAGTTTAACAAGAACCCTCCGCTACCAACTTTGAGAGTTTCAGTTTTTTCTACACGCTCGCTTCTGTTTACTCCAGAGAACCAACAGGCAAATTTCAGCTTGATCGGCTGCAAGTTCTTGTCTTCTCGTCGAGTCGGCTGAATCTTGTCCACGACCCTTCGCTGTTTCCCTTGCATCTTTCACACTTCTATTCTCCTTTCATCCTTGGCCTATTTACCCTTCTCTACATGACCAACATTTATTGATTCCTCACACTTGCCGGACTTTCTTTCTATTTTTACGATACACAGCTATCCAAATATCTGCTGATACTCATACCCAGCCAGTTTGCTACTTCTATTTTTTGAACCAATTGTTTCAGCTCGTATTTCAGGGCGACTTGTTTTTTTCTTTTTTTGGTGTGTTCTTTTACTTGTGGCACCTTGGATTTTGCCTTGCATTTCTATTTTCGCTTATGAAACTTTTTGCGTACGTTTTTGTTAACTTTCTATTCACTTATTTTCATATATTCCGCGGTGTTATGCTAGCCCAGCCTCACTTCTGACTTGCATTCTTGCAGCTGCCAGCTCTTCTGTGCCGGTCGGTTCCTGGCCTCCGCCCCCGACCATCCCACACCTTTATCCCTTCTTCCTAATTTTCTTCTATTCTGCTGCATCGCACCCTTTGGATGTTACGTCTTTTCTCACCCCCCCAGTTTTATTTTTGTCCCTAAGATACCATTTTTTTTGCCGCAGCTTGTGTATTTGCTTCGGCTCATCTTCTTGTCTAACGACCTACTGTTGAACGAGCTGTGTTGTTCCTTTTTATTTATATTCTTTTTTGTCACCGACCGTCTAACCACAGCTGTCTCGCCGATCTTCTTCTTCTGGTCTCTGATCCGCCCTCATCATGTCGTCACTCAAATACATTCTGGGCGATAACGAGGATGAATATCATCCGCCTACCCACAGTCTGTCCTCCCCGTTTCTATCTTTTCACATCTGCAGTTCTTTTTCTGTCCTGGCCTTTCCTCCCCCTTCCCCCTCGCTTCTCTTCTGCCCCTTCGTGGTTTCGGTTTATTTTTAAACTTTACATCATCACTTCGACTCGTCTTTGCCTATATCGCCTCCCTTTGCGAGGACACTGAAACTAATATAAAGGGCCATCGTCTACCCTATCTTCATCAGACTCGCATGGCACAGAAGGGACACCAGCACACGCCAACACATCGACCCTTGTCTACCGAGGAAGCAACAACAAACCAGGAAAGTCTAGCAAGCCTGGCGGTAGCAGCAGTAGCAGCTCATCCAAGCCATCCGGTTCCAGTTCAAAGACCGCCCATCATCATTCCTCCAAGGGCAAGTCCAGCAACAAGGGCAAGCACAAAGCTGCCGAAGACGACAACCTTGACGTAGACGACTACGACTACGACCAATCCTCCACCCAGCTCGCCATGGACTCTGGCGCCGAGTACGGTTCCTCTGCGGAGGGTCAATACTACCAGCAGTCACATCATGGCCACAGCCACCATGGTCATCACGGAAGCAACCGAGTTGGCCACGGCGGCTATTACATGGACCCTAACGCTGGGGCCGGTTACGCACATTTGCAGGATACTGCCGTCATGCACAATGCCGGTGTGGCCATGGACGGCTCCTACGAAGCTGCGTCTATTCACCAATACGGCGCCATGCACGGCATGGACTCATCGTCGATGTCGGCGCACGGCGACATGTCGGGGCACTACGGCGGCATGGTTGCGTACACCGACCATAGAGACACCAGCTATACACCTGTAACCCGTCGTCAGAGTCGAGCCCTGAAGGGAAAGCCTGTCCACGTCTGTGACAGATGTGAACCTCGCCGTGTGAGTCTCCCAAATACCATTCCCGGATCTGTTCCCGCTCTATACTAACAGTCGCTTAGACTTTCACGCGAGCCGAACATTTGCGGCAAGTCTACATGGCCCAACACGCCGTTTCGCGACAGTTAGGAACCTACGCGTTGACTAACATTCAGAATGCTCTATAGCCGCCACCAGCTCAGTCACGATGAGCCTCGCCATATGTGCACCTACCCCGGCTGTACCAAAATCTTCTTTCGCACCGATCTGCTGCACCGGCACCAACAGAAGCAGTATGTTCCCTTCCTGCCCCCCCTCCCCTTTCCTTACTTTGCGCCTGAAGAGTGTGGTTCACGACGAGCTTGATCCTGATGTGACAAAGACATACATGGAGGATGGCCTCCAACGGAAGCGGCTCAAACGACAGTACTGACTGGCGCAGTAGCAGTGGGGAAGAGATGCCGCAAGACGCCGACGACGGAGAGGCCGGACCATCAGGTCGTCAAGGTTCGTCCCAGGCGAGCGATTCCCCGGGCGGGAGTTGGGCCGCCACAGGAGCAGTACGGAGCACCACCTATTTTTCTTTGTCAAAAGGGACCCCGGGAAGCAGGAGTGATAATAACCATGACAGTAGTACTGATCCCGACATGAGCGAGACCCCCGCAGGCCGACGTAGACGCCGTCGACCATCCAGCGTGGGGAGAGGTGATCCCCAGGGTCACAGTGGGGTCGGACGGAAACGCACTATTCGATCGGAAGGGAAGACGAAAACAAAAAACCAAGACGACAATCCACGTCCAAGCGACAGCCAAACACTCGGCGGGCAGTCGAACTCGCTGCAAACCGTCCGAACGACGGATCTCAGCACCCACGACAAGAAAGGGAAGGATACCAAGGGCGGGGAGAGTGGACGGGACAGAAAAACAAGGGCTGTCCGCAGAGCACAAGGCGTGGGCCTACACAGTGTCCTGGTCGGCTCTGCAGCCAGCAGCGCGCACCAACTGACCTTTCACGAAGAAACGGCGCCTGAAACCCACCCGATGAGCACTATTTCACCTCCTGCTGGCGACTTGCGACCGAGAGACGAAGCCCAAGACAACCCCTACGCACAACCTCGGTACCCCGGCCCCTATATGCATACCCAGTCGTTGCAGACTCATGCCGGTATCTATAGTCGTCACAATCGCAATCACACGGTGCCCGACGCAGGTTATGATGAACAACAACAACTCTCGCGCTTCAATCATCAATACCACAACAGCAATCTGTCCCCGGCATTGGGTGGCCCCCGTCAAGCAGCAGCGTGGCAGACGACAATGCCAGCCATAGCGGCACAACTGGCCCCATGCCATTGCCTCGCACCGGTATGGCGGGATCGAGCACAATACCAATCGACGACACAGAAGGCATTGGCCACCCTCTACCCGTGTCCTATTCCATGGCCTCAGGCGGTTTTGCTGTTTCTGCCAACAGCAACGGTCCCGGCCCACTACTGCCGTCTGCACACGGCTATGACCCGATGCCGACGCACTATGAGCATCCTGTCAATCCGCCCGCCGGCCCAGCAGTCTCGTTTGCCTCGGAAAGTGCGCCACCGCTCATGGACTCCAGTCTGCCCCGCGACTATATGTCGCCCAGCAGCAGCTCTAGCCTTCGCCACATCGATGCCGCCAGCAGCTCGGGTAGTTGGACAACTTCGTATACACTGTCCTCATCCGTCAGTTCGTCTGCCAGGCATGGTTGTACCACAATGGACGATTTGTAAGAAGGTGGTGGTGAGCTATTTCGGAGGGGTGCTCAAGCAAGGTATCACCAGTTGGGAGTTGGTCCGTGCCTTTTCGTGTATATTTCACATGCTGGCAAGAATGAATAAGCCAGAGGCCAGTTGAACGTTCGCGAGGACAACTAATGAGGAGGAAGGCTCTTTTACGGTCAGAACGACTTTTCAGAGCTTGCAGGTCAAGGGGAGGATCTCACATATATGTTGTATTTATTTCTGTTGACGTTGGTGACTGACCTGCACTTGGTCGTCCTATTTTTACTTTTATTTTTAATATAGTTGCATGTAGGGGTATTTATGGCTTGTTCGGCTCCGCGACTATCTTTCGAGTGCGATGCATTGATACGCGCGGCAAGAGTGCAGCGAACCGGCAGCACTCTGGCCCGCCTGGCAACCGCCTATGTGAAGCTCTGGAGGGGGCCAGTCGGCTTACTGGATCGGGGCGTCTTAGCGCTGTGCTGTTGCAGGGGCCGAAGAATTGGGGGGAAACACGAGACCAGCTCATGACAGAGACAGTCTGTGCGCCGTGCCTGATGCGCGCCCCTGACGCAATTGAGCAGGGGAGAGAGCGAGAGAAAAAGGGAGCGCACATGGCTTGATAAGGTGCTTGCGTTTTGCGGCAGACAGGAAGTCACAAGGCTTCATCGCAGGTTCAGCTTGTTGTAAGATATTATCTCACAAAACGAAAAACGTACCGAAAGAACGATCTCCAATCGCAATTGCGTCTTCTCACTGGAATCACTGCCTTGGGGCGCTAAACCAGCTAGACAGGTCGCTCTTTCGTCAGCGTAGGCCTTTGGTCGGGCCAAGACAGGCCCTGACTTCCTGTTTTTGCTCAGATTCCGTAATTGCCATTTGGATACTCCGTAGAGGGCAGGCGTGATCTCAGTGTAGCTTCCTTTTAGCGCCGTAACCAAGGCCATTTCTTCAAGAGAGCAAGAGCAACCAGGCAGAATGCCCCGGTTTTCGTCTGATTTGATATGCCCAAGCTCCTGCTTTTTTCGCCCAATTTTACGACGCCCCCCCAGGCCACCCCCCTCAGGCTAAGCAAAAAGCGTCTCTCTTTGTTTCGATAGCTTTCCGTGACGCATGGGCAGCTTTCCTCTTTGTTTTCAGTCCTCTTTCCCTCTTTTCATTCTCGTCATCCGCACTCGCTTCTGCCATTTTTGCTTCACTTATTTTCTCCCCAACAAACAACCATCTTCCCGCTCCTAAACCACCAACAAACCGTCTCAGACATCCCGTTGCATTTAAGCTTTTACGCACCAGATTGGCTTTCGTATTCTTCCATTCTCCCGAACCAATTCGACATTCCATTGAAATAATTCAAAAAGGTAAGTAAGCCGCCTCTTCTCCGCAGCTGCGGGAGCGAGCATTCAGGAAAGCGGTGAACAGAGAGAAGGAAAGCCACGGGCCACGGCGTTGGAACTCCGAAAAGGTGCTCGAAGACAAGAAAGGAGAAAGCAAAAAGCTGGTGCGCGTTGGCACGAGCTTCGAGAGTAGCCGTGCCTTCTGCCAGTCAGGAGTTGCGTGGCAAGCAAAGTGAGACAGAAGCTTACCCTGCCAGCCTACGACAAGCTGCAGAGAAGCCCTGCAGGTCCTCATTTCGTTGCTCGCTGGCAGGTTCCGCCTCCGCTTCGATCCCGGTCGCTTTTCCCCTCCTCTCTTCTTGCAGGCTGTCTCGGCGCACGGTCCAATCCTTGATCACTCTCGTCTTTCTCGGCGTCGGCTTCGATAGCTAACCAAGCAGCCTCGTTAAACAGAAACCGTTACGACGAAACCTTTGTCGTTCTTCTTGCAGCTTCGACTGCACTCGTCCCTCCTGCCCGTCCTAGTTTCCGCCGCGCACAGCATCCGCTACCGCTGGCAGCTTTTGAACGCATTCGCAGCTTATCCGTCGCCACCGCAGCAGCGTTTTCGACAATCAACTCTCTGCGCCAACGTCCCAATTCACCAGCGTCGCTGCTCTCCATCCACTCTAAGCACACTCATCTGCTGTTCGACGCCTACAGTCAACATGGGAAGCTTTGTTTTCATCTGGTACGCATTGTGTCGCAAGCCGGGGCGTCCGGGTTGGTGGCCGTGAGGATGGACGACTTTGGGAATTTTGCTGCCTAGTGAACAGATTGCTGACGAGATTTTGTTTTTCCTCGAACAGGCCCAATGCCGGCAACGAGGTCTTTGTGACCGGCACGTTCGACAACTGGTCCAAGTCCGTCCAGCTCAAGAAGGTTGGCGACGTTTTCCAGAATACTGTTGAGCTGGGCAATATCTCGAAGAAGATTTACTACAAGGTATGTGATTGATGGTTGGTCTCAGCCGTTTTACACCTGCCACGCGACATGTGTGCGTTGCGAACGAACCACCCGTTTCCCAACGGGATGGTCCCCTCGCTTGTTGCCTGAGCTGGCCTCCCTTGTTTTACTGCACTTTCCCCTGCCCAGCCCCTTTTGCAGTCACCTTGTCTTTTTGTTCCTCGAATTGGGTCCTGTCAAGTTTCTTTTTTTTGTATGGTGCTTGCCTCGACTCTTCTCCAATTGTCTCTCAAACGGCCTGGCCAAGCCGGTCAGCCTTAGGCAACAATCAATCTGCCACTGCCTGGCATCTCTCACCAAACGAATGCGGCCTTAGTTTTCGCAAAGATGCCAAAACGAGAAGGGCGAGCGGCCTCGGCCAACCTGCTTGTCTCACCCATTTCTTTCTTTTTGTGCAGCCGAGCGGAGACAATGACGCAAGGTCTGCAGACTGGCTCCAGCCTAGCGCAGAATGTGGAGGTCAGCGCCCATTGGCAGGAATCAAGACTTGGTCCAGAGGCTAGGCGAGCCTGGCCAGTTCGGCCAATTGACCCCTCTCCGCCGACCTCGTCGCTAAACGATCACCTGTGACAAAGGTCGATCGATCTCGTTCTTGTTGCTAGACTCGCCAGGCTTTGTCTACTCGACTCGCGACCAGCCGAGAATTACCCTGCACCGCCCTTTTTTGTATCTATTGGCATTGCCCCTCTTCTGTTTCCTCGCTTCCTTTTCTCTTTTGTTTCCTCTTTTTGGGGGCTCCTCTGTTACGCTGCCATTGCTTCAACTTCGTCGTCTTGTTACCAATTTATTTGCCCTGTGCAACCCACTTGGTTCAGCGTACGTACTAAACAATTTCTCTTTTTCTCCAGTTTGTCGTCGACGGCGAGTGGGTGCTTGATCCTGCTGCGCCCAAAGAGAAGGACGAGGAGGGCAACGTCAACAACGTTCTGACTCCCGAGAACATCGTCGCTACGCCAGCCTCTGCTGCCGTCATCAGCTCTGCCGCTCCTACGGCTAGTACGTCCCAGCTCGCTGCTGGTGTTCCCGTCAAAGACAAGGCTCTTGACACCCCTGTCTCCATCCTGCCCGTGACTGAGGCGCCTGTTGTGGCTGGCGCGACTCCTGCATTTGCCAGTGCTATCAGCTCGGCCGCTCCCCAGTCCTCTACCGCCCAGCTTGCAGGCGCAGTTCCCTTGGAACCAAAGGCCGTTGACACCCCTGTCGCGACCCTTCCCGTCACAGAGGCGCCCGTTGCCGCCAAGGAGACCCCCGCCTCATCCACCGTCATCAGCTCTGCCGCACCAGCGTCCTCTACTGCTGCTCTCGCTGCCGACGTTCCTCTGGAAAAGAAGGACGAGACTCCTGCTCCCAAGGAGACTTCCACCGCTACCGATATTGCCGCGCCCGTTACTGCCGCTGCCGCCGGTGTTGCTGCTGTTGGTGCCGCTGTTGTTGCCACCGCCAAGGGTTCCGCCGAAGACGCAAAGAAGATGTCCGGCTACCAGACCGATGATATCCCGGGGACCTTCCCCGAGACCCCTGCGAACGAGCTCAACAAGGAAATCAAGCTCGTCAACCCCTTACCTGCCGCCCCTGGCGGTGTGAACCCCGTGAAGCTCGCGCCCGGCGAGAAGATTCCCGAATCGCTAAAGTCTGGCGACATCAACGCCAACGTGAAGCTTGACCCCGAGTCGTACGAGAAGGCCGACGCCGCTATTGCCGGTGGTTTCTCCGCCGATCAACTGCCCCCCGTCTCCAAGAACATCATTCCCGAGTCGAGCCTGCCCATCGTCGGCGGCAATGACGTTGCTATCAACTCGGCTGCCCCCGCTGCGACAACCGCCGCGCTTGCTGGCGCCGTGCCCCTGGAGAAGAACAAGGCCGCTACCTCCGCCCCATCCAAGGAAGAGGCCGTCCCTGAGGTTGTCAAGGAGAGCCAGGAGGCTGCTGGTGTCTCTCCGGAGGCCAGCGCCATCCCTACCGAGGTGAAGGAGAAGCAGCAGGTGGAGGACGAGCTGCTGAAGAAGGTCCCCGAGGCCCCTGTCACCTCGGACGGCACCACCACCGCCGCCAACAACAACCAATCCTCCATTTCCCCCACTGCCGTTGTTGGTAGCGTCACTGCTGCTGCTGCCGCAATTGGTGCCACTGCCCTCGCCACTGCCACGTCCGCCAAGGACAAGGCCGTCGAGCAGGCCGGTCCCACGGTCCAGAAGGCGACTGCGTCTGCCAGCGATGCTGCCGCCAAGCTGCCCGTGTCTGTCAAGCAGGTTCTGCCGAACTCTATCCAGGAGCAGCTTGCCACCACGGCCGCCGGCGGCGAGGCCGAGGCGTCGAATGTTCCGGCTGAGGTGAAAGAGTCGATCCAGCAGGCCGGCACCAGCCCCGAAGCTGCCGCCAACCCCACGGCCATCCAGGAAAAGAAGGCCGTTGAGGCCGAGCTGCTGAAGAAAGTTGATTCTGGCGCGCCCGGTGAGGGTGCTTCGGCTGCCGCACCCGCCACCAAGTCTTCCGCAGCTGCCCCCGCCGCGGCCTCCACCCCTGCCGTGGCTGCTGGTGCCGCTTCTGCTGCTGGTGCCGCTTCTGTTGCCGGTGCCTCTTCTGCTGGTCCTGCCTCTTCTGCTGGTCCTACTGCCTCTGCTGGTCCTGCTGCTTCTGTTGGTCCTGCTGCTTCTGTTGGTCCTGCTGCTTCTGCTGGTCCTGCCTCTTCCGCTGGTCCTGCCGCTTCTGCGGCTCCTGCTGTTTCTGCCGGTCCTGCTAGATCATCTGATCCTGCTACTACTGCTGCTCGAGCTGCTGCCGCCCATTCTTCTGCTACCCGCCCCGCTACCGAGGCTGCTACGGCTACAAATGGCAAGGACTCCGTCCCTGTTGGTGCCGCCGCGTCGGGCCCTGCGTCGGTTCCCCAGGTCGCTCCTATCCCCAACCCCACCGCCGCAGCCATTGGCTCTGCTTCGTCATCCCGGCCATCCAAGGGTGGAGTTGTCAACGCCGAGAAGAAGAAGAAGAACCGCCTCAGCGGCTTCTTCCACAAGATCATGGACAAGATCGATGGCGACAAGAAATAGAACCTCCTCGATTCTCCACAACCGCCCGTCACTTTTCTCAGCTCGTTCCGGTCCCATTCTCGTTATGGCCATCTACGTGGCCGTGTCTTGCTTTCTCCTCATAACACCACGTCATCTGTACAGTTTCCGTCACGCTCTTGTCTAGAAAGGCACCCCATATTTTGATTTTAATTTTTCTCTTTTTGGTTTGTGGTTGTTTTTTTCTAGTCTTTTTTTTTTGGACATCGCATTTTGCATTTTTTGCTCTCTTTACGTGTTGTCCTTTCCCCGACGCCAGAGTAAGGTTGACGTGTTCCTTCCTGTCAGCTCATCTCTTCCGTCGTTCATATGGGCATGCGATTTTTTTTTTCTCATCTCTTTCTTGATTCCCCGGGGTGTGCTACTCTACTCGCGTTGTTCTTGTTCTGTGAGACCAGACATTAATGAATTGAAAATAGAAGGCATAATGGGGATCGGGCATCCAGAGGGTCATATGTGTTGGATACCAAATTAAAGAGAAGAGGGTCGCGGAGAAGTGGTAATGGGGAGGGCTTGGAACCGGCTTGGTTGGCCATGGTCTCTTAAATTTGTTTTGCATTTTATCTAAGTTTCATCATTTTGATCGCTGTCCAATTTGAATTTGTAGTAGTGTAGACAAATACAGTAAACGTTTTCACCTCAGTGAGCACAATATTCATTATTTTTGAATAGTGCAATAGGTATCAGATGTTGAAGCTGTGCAAATTGCGCGGAGTGTGACGTAGCAGATTGCGTTTCACGTGATCGCCCGACAAATAGCGTGGCATTCCGTTTCGCCTTCCGTCCCGAGTGTCATTTGCCCCGCCCTTTCCAGCCTATGACTCCGTCTGCCGCGACTTCCTCTGCTTAGATCATTCGCTCCTGCTTTTTCTGCGCACTATCGACACCACTGTCGTGATTCTCCTAGCGTTCCCCTCCTCTCCTCACGTCTTCCTCTCTCTCTCCTTCTCCCATTCCAACGCCTTCCGCGCCTTGGACGGACTCTTTGCCGTTTCTGGTTGTGAACCAACACTCTGTCCTATGCCGACGCGTTCTCGATAGATGTCGATGACTTCCGACCGCTGATCGCCAATCCCTAAACCGCTTCATCGACAGAAACGAAGCCCTCCTCCTGATCCCACGTCGTCCGTTGCTGCTCTTTTTCAAAGGGCCAAGACCAACGTCGCCAACTACTGGCTGCAGCGAGACCTGCAGGGCGATGACGATTGGGATGAAGCTCCGATACTATCATTGTCGATAGCGATAGACGTCGGCATATCCAGCGAGCCATCCGTTCTCATTAGCACTCGTTTCGAAACGTCTCGACAACCGCCACCGTTTGCCACTCATTGACCTTCGTACTTCTTCACGGTTGTCACGGCCCAGCACGCAAGTCTCCTTTCAGCCTCTCTTTTTACAGCCGTATCCGCTTAAACGCCTGCTGGACGATCACCGACAGCTTTCTTCCCCTTCGCCTTCTCGAAAAAAAAATGAGCGTACCACAGGCGAACCTGGGCAAGTCTTTGTCGTCTCCTTCTCCATCCTCGCACTCGCCAGTCACCCCAGCAGCCGCATCGACTGGCGGCGCTGACTACTCCTCCCGTCGGCCGAACCAGCAGACCAGCGGACCTGCTGCAGGCATCTCGGCGGCCCCACGCAAAGGCCAGGCATCACGCAAGCAACACCGGAACCAGAAACGGCCGGGCGCTGCGAGCGGTGGAGCGTCCGGCAGTGGCAACACCGGGCAGAACAAGAACAAAAACTACCGCTTCGAGGACGAGGATGATATGGCGGAAACCCGCGCTTTGAAGAACGCGTCCAGCCGCCGCGGCCAGACGTCCATCACCCACCTCCTCAACTATGCGGCGCCCTCTCGCGCCCATCTGGACCACGCCTTTGGCGGCAACGACCACTACTACGGCAGCCGCTCCCGGCACCATGGAGGACACCATCACTACGCCGGCGGTGGCCACCACTCGTACCGCTCCCACCACCACAACAGCTCGGTCGACAAGGCCCGGTTTGTGCACTCCAACTACCGTTTCGTTGTCTCGCCCAAGGGCAACTATGCGACCCAAGCCACCGACGCCGACGGGTACATTGACTGGAGCGATGTCCTGCAGGTCCTGGCGTCGACTGAGTCTCAAAGCTCGTCGTGTCCCATCTGTCTGTCAGAGCCTGTTGCGCCCCGCATGGCCAAGTGCGGCCACATCTTCTGTCTGCCCTGTCTGATTCGCTTCATGCACGCCATCGATGCCGACGACTCGGCCAGCAACGCCTCCCGTACCGCACGCACTGTGGTCGGTCTCCCGCCTGTCCCGGATGCGAATGGCGCACTCGCATCGCCGTCAGCACCCGTGCCAGAAAAGCGAGCCAAGTGGAAGAAGTGCCCCATCTGTGAGGAGAGCGTGTACCTGGGGGAGGTGCGGCCCGTACGCTTCTATGCAGGGCAAGAAAGCCCGTTGCCCCGGCCAGGTGACGATGTCGTGCTACGTCTCATGATGCGCCACGCCAACTCGACCGTCGCATTGCCACGCGAAAGCGCAGCGGATGTACTCAATTCTGGAGCCAAGGGCGGACGGGGCGGTGTTTCGATTCCGTGGCACTTTGCGGCCAATGTACTTGACTATGCACGCATCATGAAGGGAACCGGGGACTACATGGTGGAGGAGTTTGGGCGGGAGCTGGAAGACCTTGCGCGCCAGGAGAAAGAGGACGAGCTGCTGTTCCACGAGGACGGCGAGTGGACACGGCGCGCTATGCGGGCCGTGCGAACGGCACAGGAGAGCTCCCGAGAACTGGGCGGAATCGAGCTCGCACTGCAGGACGGCAGCATTTTCGGTGGCAGTAGCAGCAACCAGCGACCAATGAAGCAACTTCCTGTCGGGGCCGAACCTGCGTCACCCACGGTGGCAACCGCATCACCAGCTCCAGCACGAGCTGCGCAACCGCGTCCCGACGACGGACTATCTTCCCTACCACGACCAACGGCCGCCTCATCAGGCGCCGCCGCTGCCGCAGGTGCAGCTGCTACTGTGGCAACCCCACAAGACTTTTACTTTTACATGTCACCGCCGCACCTCTATCTCTCTCCGCTGGACATTCGTATCCTCAAGACCAAATACGGCTCCTTTTCGGCGTTCCCCTCCACCCTCCTGCCGCGCGTCGAGCACATTTCCACCGGCCACGTGGTAGACGACGCCATGCGCCGCCGCGCCAAGTATCTTGGTCATCTCCCCGCCGGCTGCGTCGTGTCCTTTCTGGAGTGCGACTGGACGGACATTGTGCCGGCCGAGACGCTCGCTACGTTTGCCGAGGACATTGAGCGCCGCCGGAAGCGCAACCGCGACAAGGCCTTCCAGGAAGAGCGCGAACGGTTGCAGGCCGAGCGTCTTGAAGCCGCCGCACTCCACAGAGGTGCTGGACGGCGCGGTGGTATCGGTGGCGGAGGCGGTAGTGGTGATGCACACGGCGGTCTTGATGGCGGCGATCACGGCCACGACAGCGTATACGACGACGCCGTCCGGCCCATGGATATCAACGAGTTCCAGCCGCTCGGGGGTGGTCCTGGTGACAGCGAGGGCGGCGGCTTGACATCGTCGTCGGCCTCCCCGCCCAACCCGCGCCTTGGCTTTGGCCAGCTGGCATCCATGTCGACGACGCCGCCTTCGTCGTCGTCCAACTCGGCATCACGCACCGTTTGGGGTACGCGCGCCGTGCCCGTGTCGCCGAGCCTGCAAGCCTATGTTGCCAGTAATGCCCCGGACGATGGCTGGCTCAAGGACGACCAGGTGCTGGGCTCGCTCCTCGATACGAGCGGAGCCAGCGACGCCGACCTGGTGGCCCAGATGGAAGCCCTGGGCGTAGAGGCGGCCAAGCAGACCGTCGACGGCGACGCGGCCGCTGCCGCGTCCCCGGCTGCGGGTGGCAAATCCAAGAAGAAGAAGAAGCAAAAAATTACACTCATGAGCACCGGCGGCCGAAGAGGATTCTGATTTTTGGAAGACCCGGAACACAATGAATGTGCAGAACCATTCTTTGAATCTGGCCAGTTCTACATGTCGGCGCACACATTTACGGAGCTCTCCCTTAGGTTCTGTTTCCTTAAACTACTGCATGCCTTCTCATTTCGAAGCCAGATATAGCAGCGTTCTTTTTTTTTTCTTTTTTTTCACGCAAAGCAGCTTATGACCTTGTCGTTGTCACGGATGACGGCATATACTAGCAAATAACATACATTACATACCACTATCTATTTACGGGCTACCGCTATGCGAATACAAAACATTTGCAACGACTAAAACGCCTTTTTATTGCCCCGCGTATTCTGATTTTGTACGAAAGCTAAGCAGTACTCTATATTATCGTCCACGTCGCAGAACAGGGAAACCGGCTCGGTGTCTTCCCAACATCTGCTGTTCAATCCCGCCGCCTTTTTGTGTGTACTGAATACTGTAATAGGAAAACCAAACCTGCCTGTAAACCGGACGACAAAAAATAGCAGGTAAAAATAACGCAAAGGGAATAATATAGCAAAAAGGGGATGAATCATCTATTGTGTTTTGGGGTGGTTTATGGGCGTTTTGCGGAACCAGAGAGGAAGACGGCGTAAAGACGGGAAAGAGGGGGGAATGAAATGAAGACCAGGATGAAGAGGAAGAAAGGGAAAGAGAAATCGGAGAAGAAAAGCAAAGCGGGCACTGACAACACCAAAACGATAGACAGGCAACGCAAACTGTACCCACACGCTTATGATGCGCGCAGGCTTCGCCGCAGGTCGGACGACGAAGCAATGCGCTCGATGCCGTTGCCAGTCCGGGAGCTGCTCGGGCGACTCTTAGCTTCTTGTGTATTGTTTCCGCTACCGCTGCCGCTGCCGCTACCACTGCCGCTGCCCGACGGCTGCTTATCGTCGCTCTCCTCAGAGTCGTCGTCACTGACTTGTTGCGACCGCGTGTCCCGGCCGCGCTGTCGGCTCTTGGTCATCCACGACCGCACACCGCCAATCAGGCCGAGGGCGTAGCCGGCCACAAAGTCGTTGGTGCTGCCGACGGGCGACTTGGGTGTCGACATGTTGATGCTGGGGGCCGCGCCGTTACCACCGCCCACAGCCTGCTGATGCTGCTGGTGGAGGTTCAAGGTCGAGGTGGGGCTCGCCGGGAGGGGCCCATCGTTGGCGGTCAGGTACGACTGGCCGGCGGGGGAGCCGAGGTGCAGCGAGGGCCGCGGGGCAGGGCTCTGGGGCCGGCTGTTGGGCCAGAACTGGCGCAGCTCCTTGCTGAGCTCCTGGCCGGTCGTGGTCCAGTTGGCACGGATATTGTCACGCAGGTCTTGGACGTGGCGCTTGAGCTCGAGCTCGTTCTTCTTCAGCCAGCTCACATTGAGCTCCTGGCGGGAGGTGCCGCGCTTCAGTTGGCGGGAGATGTACTTTTCGTAGTCGCGGACGATCTTGGTGATGATGCCCGTGGTGCTGACACCCTCGGTGCGCTGGGTCACCAAAAACTTGCCAGCGGCCTTTATCGGCTGGTAAATGTCGTCGCCCTCGTCGGCGCCGTAGGGGATGTCGTCGTGGGCGACGTAGTCAATCTGGTGCTCCTCGAGGAAGGCGGGCGTAACGATCCACGGGCAGTTTTCAATGACTTCGTCTACCCACTTGCAGTGGCGTACAGTCTCGGCGCGCTCCTTGCCGGACAGCACAGTCAAGCCCTTGCGCTTGTGGGTCTCCTCGTCGCCCGTGACGCCAACAATGAGGTAAACGTCAGAGAACGCCTTCTTGGCCTGCTCAAGCTGGCGCATGTGTCTACTGGGAGTTAGAAAGTGTTGCCCACGTATCGTACAATCTGCTATAGAAGAAAATGGAGGATATACCCAAGATGGAACAGATCAAAGACGCCATCTGCATAGACACGGACCGGCCGACCTGTGGGTGGGGAGTTTGTGCGGTAGCCGTGAGGGTGAATGAGACCGCCGCCACCGACCGGCGGCGGCGCCATGGACTCGTCGGACGCACTCACGTCCTCGTTGTCGCCCTCGTTATCGTCATCGCTGGTAGAGTTGCTGTTCCGGCGGTCATCGGTGTCGACATTCGGACGCTGCCGCTTGCTGGGAGGCAGCTGCTTCTGTCGCTGGCTCTGGCGCCGTGTCGACGGGGATGCGTCGGCGCCATCGTTGTCGTGTTCGGACTCGATGTTATCGTCGCCATTCTCCTCGTGATAGTCGTCGTGGTCGTTGACAGCTGTTTCACGGGTACGCTTGCGTTTGCCGTTAGCACCGCCGGTCGTTGAGCTTGACGAAGGAGGCATTTTGCGTGGGTTGTATGTGTGTGTGCAATGTGGAAAAGAGGTCGGGTCGGTCAATCGTCAACGGCGACCAAATAAATCGTTAGACGCGGAATTCGATGCAGCCGATAAAAGACGCAATGGCGAAGCCAGTTGCCGAGAAAACAGAAGCTTGCGACGATGAGAAAAAAAGGAGAGAAAGGGAGATCGAGGTTTAATTGCAGTATTTTCTGGAGGCTGCGTTGAAAAATGGAGAGCCAGAAACACGGCTGGGCCAATAGAAAGAACCAAGTCAATCGAATGACGACACCAGCAGCTGCGGCAGCGACAGAATGTGTTTGTTGTGCCTTGAAGTTGGATTTTGATTTTTGGTGGTGCTGTGGCCCCGATTGGTTTGGCCAGGTTCCACGAAAGCCGAGCTGGGTAGACGTGTCAAATGCGAACAGAACGTGGCACGGGCGCGACCGGATATCATAGGAGTCGACCCAAAGTAGGTAGAAGTCGAAAATAAGGATGGCAGGTTACATGAAGCAAATGAGAAGAGAAAGCAAAGGAGAGGGTTTGGAAAAGTTGAAAAGGGACAAGAGACCGAAAAGAAGAAATGACGGAAAGCTGGCGGAAGCAGTCGAAGCTGCAGGAAATCTAGAAAGTCGCCCTTTCCCAAGTAGGCAAAATGATACGCTAACAGCTATAGCATTAAAAGCAGAAGGTACGCCCCAACAGCCCCTATTCTTGACCCTAGCAAGTGAAAGACACAGCAGCAGTGTGGGAAGGAGTTGTGGACTGGGGACTTTCGCTGGGAAAGAGCGAGGCAAGCCATGGAATGACAGGGCAGGAGTAAATAAGATCCATTACGGAGTACGGCATAAATGCTCTCAAAATTACATGGAAGGACCGGGAGGGAAAGTGTGACATGCAAGGACACGCCCTCGGTCCATTGTGCTGGCCGCAACTCCCCTGCCTCTGTAAGCTGGGCATAAAAGTGGCGTCATCAGAATAAGCGGCCTCTTTTCACGCTGGGCGCACCATTGCCCCAACGCCATTTCACAAAGAAGTCCTTTGTCCTTTGTCAAGGACCTTGCAGAACTCATGGCTCAAGTGCCGCAGCATGGCTACTGTAGTGAGTAAAAGGCACGCTCTTCGTATTTTGTACAACCTTTGTCGTGAGACTTTGGTGCCTTTCGTCCTCCATCCTCCGATCCCATATTAATGCGTAAATGGGACATCACGAAGTACGATACATGCGAAAACACGCTGGCAGTAATAAGAGATAATTATTTAAAAACTGTCTTGAATAAGTGCAGCCGTTCGATTCCTCCATGATTCAAAAATGCGTGTGCCCATCATGGTCCTACTCTTCGCTGGGTAAAACGATAAACTTTATATCCTACAATCAGGTAACCACATGGCCCTGTCCGTCAATGTAATGGCAACTAAATAACAAAATCAAAACTATAACGCCTCGCTAAAACCCTGCCCGTTGATACCGGGCGCATCCTCCGCGCTCGTCCACACTGTTGAGACATGATATCCGCAATGAGAAAAGACGTATTCGTAAAACTGACAATAATGAAAGACTGGTGCGAGAAGAGCAATGGTGCCATTGCACCCTACGGTACCGGGGTCGTCGGCCGTGATTTGTTAACGCGATGTCTGCCGCAGCGGTGCGGGTCTTTGGGGTTGCTCAGGTAGCAAAACTCTTTGGCACCCTCGGGAGCGGCCGGTCCAAACTTCTCCCGGACCGTACAGTACTCGTAACCGGGGCCCATCCAGCCCTGAATGTGTTTGTGCAGCTCGCAGCGCGAAACACCGCACTTGCGGCACAGGGCCTGGCCCCGTACGCGCAGCATAGCCAGCGCGTTCGTCGTGGCCTCCAGCGTGGCGGCATCCGAGTGGCCGCCGTGCATCATCCGGCCTGCCAGATGCCACACCCACTCCATGTCGTTGGGACCCGGCCGCCGCACCGACAGAGGCACAGCACCATGCATGCGGCGGTGGATGTCGTAAAAGTGCTTGTTGGTCAACCCCAAGCACGTACTGTCAATCGGATCCAGGAAGTCGAAGATGGTGTAGTGCAGCTCGGGGGGCAGGTCGAGGAGGCCGAGGTTCTCTGACAGGCGGTGGTGATGTGGCACCGGCTCGTAGTCCATGACCGAGTACGACCGCCGAGGCGGGCCCAGCTTCGGCCGTGTTGTTCTGCCAATCTCCGCCGGCGGGGGCGTAGGTACGGGCGTTACGGCGCCCGGCGATACCAGGCCACTGACGGTCTCCTCGTCAATGGTCGGTGGTCGTCCGTGTGCGGCAAGCGTTTTCAAGGCATCTCCGCTTGATGCAACCTCCGCCGGTGCCGCGAGGGCCGCCTGTGGAATGTTGTTGGCGCTGTTCTGGTGGATGAGCACCGTCCTTGACTCGCCCCGCATCAGCGGAGGCGGCGACGGGTAGACATAGTCGTTGGTGGACTGGGCGCGACGTGGCGGCCGGAAAGGAACACGGCCGTTTCTGGCACTGGCCGAGTTGTCGTTGGGGTTGAACGACTTCGGGTCTACCCCACGAACAAGCGAAGTGTGACTGCCCTGGGAAGTGTATAGGCTTTCAAGCATTGTCGTCATCGATGCTGTCATTGTCCAAATGGTGAACAAGGTTCGAGTCAGTCGCGTATCGCGGCGGGTATTATATTTGGGTTCTGACTGCCGTGTCTTGTCCTGTAGCTGATAGGG